CAGCCGCTCAATGACCGCCTTCCATGATGTCTTCCCGCCAGCACCGTCCAGGCTGTCATATACGGCCTTCGCCCTTCCTCTCAGCAGCGTTCCCAGCACCACCAGCTTCGCCTTCGGTTCCTTCACCCCCACCAGCTCCGCCACGGCCTCAAACTCCTTCGGCCATGGAATCTTCATCCTTTGCGTAGGCAGCGACACCAAATGTAGTGAATGAGAACACAGGTGGGGCAACCGAATTGTATTTAACGAACATTACAGAGTTACTCAGTAAAATCGGAAAACCATATCGTAAATCGTTCATTTGCAAAAGATCAGTTCATCCTATCGAACTGGACTATTCCTGTTGCCAAACATCAATCCATTGTCACTATTCATGCGTTTCATACAAATTCCATTGTTTTCTAACTCTTCCTTTCTTTATCTTCCCCCCATATTATGCTACCAGACTTTACGTTTACACTCACGTTATATACTACTTATAAGTAGTTCGCACCACAGCACCACAGTACTACTGACTGCAGAGCGGTATGACAGCAGTAAGGTGTTTCCCTCGGACAACCAGCATCTGCAGCGATGCTGCCTTCTCACAAGGAAGGAACGGTTAGAAAAGGTCGACCCTAAAAATGTCACACCTCACCCTACCTCACGGATTTCCGTCTCCGTCGGTAAGGGTTCCCACTAAGGGCTTTCAAGAGCGGAGCTAATACTCAAAAAACCCTTCATAAAAAGGCTGTGCGTGACTGGCCTCAAGTAGGTGTCATGATCTCAGGTCTCCCAGACCAACAGTAATGTACCATAATCTTCAGTTTTCTCGAGAAACACTGTCCGACGGTGTGGGAAGCGGGGAAGTGATAACCGACCTCATACCCGTACCAGCACGAGAGACCAAATTGGTCAAAATCAAATCCTTCCTACAACCACTAGTACCTCTCATATCTCCACGACTAACTTTTCTCACATTCCTGCACAGCTAATGCAAACTATGCGAGTTCACGAAACGTCATTCCTGGTCTCCTGAAACCCCGTTCTAAACTACATGTTGGAGCATTTAATGTACGGACATTGTGTCAAATAGGGCAACAGGCTTCATTAGCTAGGACTTTAGAATCTCGCTCAATCGATGTGTGCTGCGTCTCGGAAACGCGCATACAGGATCCTAGTAAAATCATTAATCTGATTTCACCTTGTCAAAATAAAGAAGCATCCCAATTTACTCTTCGTGTATCTGGAAGCCCTGATGCTGCTTCCCGGGGTCTCGCTGGTGTAGGTATAGTATTGAGTCATAGGGCAGAACTAGCTCTCCTTGACTGGATCCCAGTAGATAGTCGCTTATGCGCTGTCCGACTGAATGGGACAGTAAGGATTCGGAAAGATATGGAAACTTATCGTTGCCTCTTCGTCGTATCTGCCTACGCTCCCACTGACTGCAGTTCAGACGAGGTGAAAGATGAGTTTTACAGAAAGCTTTCGGACCTCCTCCAAAAAGCTAGGCTCTCTGATGCAGTTATAATGGCTGGTGACGTTAATGCTCAAGTAGGTAGACTAAGTGAGCAGGAAAGACACATTGGTGGATATTATGGTGTCGCGGCTAATCGAACAGACAATGGCGACCGTCTGTAGCTACTGTGTTCAGATAATCGCCTATTTCTAGCAAACACTAACTTTAGGCATAGAGAAGAGCATCTTTCGACCTGGCGACCCCCAAAGTCATCTCAACGCTGGACCCAACTAGATCACTTCGCCATAGATGACTGTCGCTCTTTCTGGGGCACATGTTTAGATTCAGATCATGCCCTAGTGCGAGCGTGTATTTGTTTGAGGCTTACTGGACGTAGGAAAGACACCGTCAGGAAGCCTCTTAGAGTTTTACTTAATGATAATAAGGCGAAGAATATATTTCAGGAACAACTAGAAAGACGGTTAGTCGACCATGTAAGCGATTACCACCCGGAGGCAGGTTGGAATGATATCAAGAAGGCTGTGGAAACGGCAGTGATGTCTGCTAGTAAGGTTAACCATAAGGCTATAATGAAGCCATGGATCTCTGTAGCATCCACCAAACTGATGGATGCTCGAAATCTCATCCCACCTGGCTCTGAACATCATGAAGAACGAAGTCAGCTTAAGCGCAGGTTGATAAAAAGCCTACGTAACGACCGTGAAGAGTGGTGGGTGGCGAAAGCAAACAGTAGACAACTTTTCCGACTTATCAAGGAAACTGGCATTAGGAATCCTAGTGTAAGTGAGACTGTCTCGGAAAATGATGGGACTATTATTTATTCTCAATCCAGGAGACTGGATCGATGGGCAGAACACTTCAGGGATCAGTTGAATTGGCCTCAAGCCACTCTTCGGTTACCCACGATCATCCTGAATAGCAAATCGACATAAGTTCCCCTAGTCTTTATGAAGTTGAGAAAGCGTTAGGGAAACTGAAGCGAGGGCGAGCTGCAGTGTGGTGCTGTGGTGCGAACTACTTATAAGTAGTATATGACGTGAGTGTCAACGTAATGACTGGCAGCGGAAGATGGGGAGAGATCAAGAAAGGAAGAGTTAGAAAACAATGGAATTTGTATGAAACGCATGAATAGTGACAATGGATTGATGTTTGACAACAGGAACAGTCCAGTTCGATAGGATGGACTGATAATTTGCACATGAACGATTTCCGATTTGGTTTTCCAATTTTACTGAGTAACTCTGTAATTTTCGTTAAATACAATTCGGTTGCCCCACCTATGTTCCCTTTCACTACAGCAGGTACTGATAGACTGACCCCTGAGATGTTTAAGGATGGTGGTCCAGTTTTAGCAATTAGGTTGACTGAGATCTTAAGTACAATCTGGGAACTGGAAATAATACCATCTGGCTGGTCTCAATCCTTGATTGTCCCTATTTATGAGAAAAGACATAAATCTTCTCATGACAATCACAGGGCAATAAGTCTAACTAATATAGTTTCTAAATTGTTAGCCTCGATTATACTTAGACGCCTTACTAGTGCTCGTGAAGAACAGACTAGAGAAAACCAGTCTGGTTTTCGACCTGGACGTGGTTGTGTAGACCACGTCTTCACACTACGACAGGTCCTGGAACATAGACACACATTTAGGCGTCCTACAATAGTTGTCTTCCTGGCAGTGTCTGTCAGTGAAAGGTGTACCAAAAAAGTACAATAACCTTATACAAGCTCTCTACTCGAACACCAGAGTTCGAGTGAGAGCTTATGGCGAACTGTCACCGGAATTCTTCACTTCAAGTGGTGTCCGTCAGGGATGTCCACTCTCTCCATTCTCGTTTAATTTCATCATAGACATGCTCTTAGAAATAACTTTATCCTCGTTTGAATTTTCAGGAGTAGACCTTTTACCAGGAGGCTCGCTTATTGACTTAGAATATGCCGATGACATAGTCCTACTTGGTGAAGACGTTGACAAAATGCAGAGTCTTCTGACCACCCTAAGCAACAATGCAAGCATGTTCGGGATGAGATTTTCCCCCTCAAAATGCAAAATGTTGCTTCAAGATTGCGTTGCATCGGCACCTGAATTAGTGATAGGGAGTGAGGTAGTCAAACGTGTAGACCGCTTCACGTATCTGGGGAGTCTCATCAGTGCTGATGGCCTGGTGACTGACGAAATCTCAACTCGGATACAGAAGGATCTATTGGCTTTTGCCAAACTGCGTCACTTATGGAGCACGCACGATATCCATTTGCTGACTAAATGGAGAGTGTACTGTGCAGCAGTTCGCTCCGTCCTACTGTACGGATGCGAGACTTGGCCGTTATGAGTAGAGGACATTCGTTGGTTACTATTCTTCGATCATCGTTGTCTCCAAAGCATTGCTCGTGTATCATGGGACAACCGAGTAAGCAATGCTGTTGTTCGGAAACGAGTTCTAGGTAGGGATGGCATATCAACAGATGAAGTAGTGAAACTTCATCAGTTGAGGTGGTTGGGACATGTATTACGTATGCCCGAACACCGCGACGAGCTATGTTTTCAGATGTAGGAGTAGGTTGGAAGAACGCTAGGGGTGGCCGAACAAAAACATGGCACAAATCCATGAAGTCACTGACAAGTGGGCTGAGTCATGTTGGTAGATGTAGACTACCTGGTTGGGGTCCGCGAGACGAAAGTCAACGATGGTTAGAGACCTTGAGTGACATGGCTCAGAATCGTTTGCAATGGCGCAGGTGCATCCACTCTTTGTGTTCTATGAAATTCTAACCTTCTGAACTCTTCATAATCTCTACCTTTCTCCTTCTAAATTTGTCTTACTGAATTATACTTCTCGAATCATATCTTCGCTCTCTAATCTTCTCCATTACTGCTAATACTTCTATTATTGCTATCACTTTTGGATTTGAAATGACAGTTGCATCTCTGTGCTGATGGCAACCTGAACTGATGTACTTATGTACGAAGTTCTGCGTTGTATCTGTCTGTCTGTATTTGAAGAGTATGTGATTTAAATGATGTTTTCGCTTGATAAGAGAAGCTATAAGTACATCCGGTTCAGTTGAAATTGAATGGTTAATCACAGTAAGCAAATCATAAACAGAACAACTAACTTCGTATTAAAACATCTGAGTAATTAATTTATTGACAGATAAGCATGATAGCAATGAATCAATCAAGTATTACAATGTGATCTTTTAGGTTAAACGATTTGTGCTGATTGTTCATTGTTTCTGATGAGTAAATATTCACTTACGTTATAATTAACCTTGACGATTATTGAACAGATTATCATCCAAATTAAAATGCATAGAGAGAAACAATTTTTCCAATGTTGTGAATAATGCTGGGTTAGTAGATTTACTGAATCGAATGCATCATAGATGAATCACAATCAAGTTGATTGGTTATAAAACTATGCAACAATTAATGAAATGCCTTTCTAATCACTTAAGCCTACTTGTGTTTAATAGACATTTTCTATTTAAAATATTGTTCAGATTTACTACATGTATATATCTAACAGATGTCACTTACCATGGGATAAACTTCAATCACAGTATTATTTTCAGTAATTAACTTAATCGGTGATTGAATAGTAGCATGGTTCAGTTCATTTATGGTCAGAGGTTTTGATCGTACAACTATGTGCTCTTTAACGTCTTTACAGCTTCGAATTATCTAAAAATAGAAAATATATTATCAATATCTGTGCAATCGAAACCTTATGCTTCGTTTTATTTTCACCTACTATTACATGCATACTACTTATTAATGGTGAGTAAACTGACCTACTGTCAATCATTTCTATTTGTCAGAATCAATACACATTTTGTTGACATGAATGTCTATCCTGTTATCAATGATATTTTTTGTTGTGTTCCTCTTTTCATTGAACCCACTTGATCTCAGTGATCTTTAAAAATATCTTCCTTCATGGAAGTGATCTCATTTGTTTTTCAATGTATCATCTAATCCGACTATTGTGGACTTGATATATTTGTAAATTCTCATTGATTTTACAGGAAATTAATGAGTTTAAATTTTTAGCTATATGTTGCATGAGACTGACAATAAATAAAGTACAAAGTACTTTAAACCATAGATCACTGTGAATATTGTTTCTTTCGAAATGTAGAAAACTCACTTATCCTAACCATGGACTAAATGTCACATTAAACGGAAGTTCCTGAAATTTTGATGTAAGAGCTATAAAACTGACAATGACCCAATGAGTTGAATTTTAACTGTTCCCATTTTTTTCAGTACACGAGAATCTGTATTATTAGCCTAAAGGTCATTTGACATATTATTGAGTTTTAGGAAATCACTGAATCAATACGACATTGTAAGACTAGAGTGGATATTTTAGATTGGTGAAAGTTTTTTCGTATTATATAATAAGATCTATTCCTACTGTGTAATGGATAAATATTTGGTTGGAAGTTTTGTCCTAATTGTAGGCTTTCATCGGAAGTATTAATTAATTACCATTCTGGAAATAAAATTTACTAATTATCCAAGTACTCCTTTGAGTGTCATTCATAACCGTACTCATTTATGGTGATATGTGGTTGTGTATTGAATACATTTGTGTATGGCTAGGTGAGTACCGCTTCCGATTAGATGATGACAACGAAAGGAACTCGTCAGAACGATATGGTTTACGGTTTTGAAGCTATTGATATCAGTTGAGCAGATGGCCGTTTCTCTCTTAGACGTGAAGTGTGTTTGAAATTAGTGAAAGCTATATCGTATGATTCAATTAAGTGGACGTTCAAATGAGTGAGGATCACAACTAACGTGAATAATTATTATGAGCAATGACTAAGCCTGGCCCCCTCCAATGATACTGCCATATTGCAGCCCGGTAAAGTGAGAAGAGTTGAAAGTAAGGTTGACGACCCCACTGCGTGAGAAACTAACTTGCTAAAAAAACGTTAACCCGAAAATATAATTCAAATCACATTCACACTACCCTAAGTGTTAGGAGGTCTTCATTCAGAAGAGTTATGACATCTCATGATAAAGGCCGAGTTGCTTCGGAAATCGAGAGGCCGATGCCCCTTCTGATAACCAGAGCAACCACTCTTTTAGGTACATGGAACCTTCAAACATTGTAAGGGACTGGAAGACCATTCCAAGTTGCTGCAGAAATCAAAAGATACAACCTGGAGTTGCGTGGGATCAGTGAAACGCATTGAATGCAAGTTGGAAACTGAGACTAGTTGCAGGAGAGCTGCTGTTGTACGCCGACCGTGAAGAACAAAACGTCTCACACACAAGCAGTTGCACTGATGCTGTCCAAGCAAGCACAAAACGCACTTATTGGATGGGAATCTCATCAACCCAGAATCATCAAATCATCCTTCAAAACAAAGAAAGAGGATATTACAATGAACTTCATCCAATGCTATGCATCTACCAATGAGTGCAATGGAAACGCTAAAGATCAATCCTACAAGGGGCTGTGGTCAATCGTTGAGAGATGCTCATCAAAGTATTTGACGATTTTAGTGAGAGAACTAAATGCCAAGATCGGCATGGAAAACACTGCGTATGAAGACATCATGGGACGGCATGCACTGGGACAAAGGATCGAAAATGTTGAGAGATTCGCAAACATATGTGCCTTCAACAAACTGGTCAATGAAGACACAGAATTCCTATACAAACGCATACACAAAGACATTTTGATTTCACCGGATAACACTACATGGAACCAAGTCGATCATATCTGCATCAATATTAGGTTACCAACAACCATGAAGACGTGTGAGAGAGGCTTAAATAGCTTCAGATTATCACTTGATAGTGACCAAGATGAAACTGAAACTAAATAACTGGGCCGAAAACATCGCAAAATTTTCAGCAGCTCGCAGACTCGTTTCGAGGTGAAGACCGGTATTAGGCAAGCTTACTTACCCTCCTACACTCTCTTTCTCCTGGTGATCAACCGAATTATGGAGACGTCAACATCTGAGGTGAAGCACGGGACACAGTGGATAGTCATGATGTAGCTGGACGATATGAACTTCACAGATGATTTGTCAATTCTACCGCACACGCAACAACAAATGCAAGAGAAGAAGACCAATATAGCAGCAGCCTCAGCAGCTTCAGCAGCAGCAGCAGATCTCAACAACATAAAGGGTAAAGCGAGATTCTCCAATATAACACAACATGCACAAACCAAATCACTCTTGATGGAGATGCCTTCGAGGAGGACGTTTAAGCCTTTACGTATCTGGTCAGCACCATTGACAATCAAGGTAGATCGGATGTGGATGTGAGGGTGCGGATCGGCAAAGTAAGTGCAGCACTTCTACAATTGAAGAACTCTTGGAACTTAAAACAACGATCAACCAACACTAAAATCATAAGTTTCCATAGAAATAACGAGACAGTTCTATTGTATTGGGAGGAAACTTGGAGAACTATTGAAGCCATCATCCAGAACATCGAAGTGTTCATTACCATTTGTCTACACAAAGTACTTCGGAATCGCTTTACAGACACTATCAGCAACAATCGGATTGCAGTGGAGGAAGAGATCAGGAAGAAACGGTGGAAGTGGATAGGATGCACTTTGAGGAAGGCACTCAACTGCATCACAAGCCAAGACTTCATTTGGAACTCTTAGGGTCGAAGGAATAGAACATGTCCAAGGAACACGTTGTGAAATGGAGGCAGACGTGTTCTTTATGAAGAACAATTTACAGAAATAGAAGTAACGTCTTAGGTCATTGGAGGTTGAAGATAGCATGTCAGCGGTTTATTCTCAATCGAGGTTAGCTGTTGTTAGTAATGGCAATAATAATAACAATTAAGATTACTTACATTAGATGGAACAAATATATAAAAGTATTTTGGTGGATTCAATGTTCTTAAAGCTAATTGGGTTTCTGTTGAAAGACAGTGATCATGATCTACAATAAATTGCGGTAAATCTTTCTCCTGCTCTAATGTTTTATATACATCCAAGTGACAACGTGCACCAGAAAGTATTGTCCCTTCAATACAAACACATTCAGTGATACCTAAAAATAAGAGTTTGTAGTCAGGATTTAGTGCGATAATAAATTATACACACTTTCTAATTAAATTTTTTATTAGTATGAGACGAGATAATACTGAGGTAGTCGAATGAAATTTTAGGTGTGTCTCTAATGTATTAATCTGTATATTTCTTTTAAGGTGCATATTTACAACAGAGTTATTTTGCCACATTACTTCATATTGTTCTTATTATACACTTTCATTTGACTTACAAATTATTGATCATTTTATCGTTCATAGATTAACTACATTCTGTTATATAAACCTTCGTTACAAAAATTATAATTTCATGTTGTATTTCTGAGCATAAACCTAATAAAGCAGCCAACAAAAGTCTCATTCTGATTTTGAATAGATTGGAGTTGTATTCATAGAGGTTTGTCATGTTATTTTCCGCTTGTCTTTTTCTCATCGGTTTACACAGATACAGGTATCTGAGCAGCTAATCATTGACACAACAGTAGATTATTTGGTTATCTGTCAGGGGAAAGAGGTTATAAGTTCAAATCATTTACATACGGATCTATGATTGTTATCATAAGGTTATGTTAAGTGGCTTTTTGCATCAAGCATACATAACCTTTGTATAAGTAAAGTTGTGAATGATGAGCATCCTAGATCATGACACGATAGTGTTTTGAATTTACTGTGACGTAGAGGGCTGAGAAGTCAACCTTCAGAATGAAGCGTCGGATTTCTTCGAAAACAGCACTACTTTCAACCAACTTTACAAGAGTATCTCACAGAAAAGTGAAATTAAGTATAAGATTTGGCTACTCTCTCATGTTGGCTGATTTTTAACGCGAGGTCACTACTATCATAAGAATTCGATTAATAGTGAGAAACTTAACGAAATAATATCACTGTTTACCCACCAGCAGTTGATTATATGATGAGACGTTAGACACTCAATTTTCTATCGTTTGATCAAGAACTAGTTATCATTAATAAGCAACGTATCAATAAACACTGCCATTATTGAAAAAAATTACTTATTTCGGATTGGTTAGAAAGCAAAATAAAATGTAAAGTAGTCTATTGTATATGCATTACATATGGATATGTCTGTCTACACTCACTATCCATTCACGGCTTAAGATGGTTGGACATATTAATTGTAAAAACAATGTTAACTACAGTACACCAAGTCCATCATTAAATTTCATGCAGTAGTACTAGACAATCAAAAAGCGGAAATTAAGAATAGTCAAGATAAACTTTTAATGCTTTACCTCTTGGGATATTATGTATACACCGACTGAATGGTTGACATTCCCGTGCAACACAATCTGATTTACATGAGAAACCATCCCCAACAAATCCTGGACGACAGATACACATATGACTGAGTAACTAGATGGAGGGAGATAAAAATAATTGATGGTTTTAAATATATAATAAACTACAGTATTATTTTCAGGTATAAGTTACATTTGGCCAAATCACTTGGAATTGATAAGGTGATTGGATACATGTTAATAACTTACTAGTCACGTGATAATCCTCAAAAATCGATACTCTAGCATCAGTAAATGAAATGGCTAAAAATGAACTTTACTTTCATGTTTAATGTCGAAAAGTAAAACACATAATCCATCATTTCTGTAGAGCTCTTTCTATCAAGTTATTTGTAACTCGACATATTAAACACAAATTTTTGTACACTTTATGAAATGATCTTTTGAATGATAAGTTCTTCATTTAGTTAACTGCAAAGTGAGATAGAAGTTCACTATTACAACATGAAACTAAATTTAATTCACCAATTTTGATTATTCTATAACCGTGATTTTTCATTTGTAACTATAAAACCTGGTTAGGATGATGTTGTTCAAAACAACTATTTAGTCAAAATCTTGTTAGTTTTATGTATTTTTTTATATTTTATATTTCAATGATAATGTTGATGATATTAACAACAATAAAATCAAAAATATATATTTCGAAAAGGTGAAATGCCAACTGATGTTCTTTACATTGTCAGGAAAGAAAGCAAGCTACCGATAAACTTAGAAATACAATTCCCTTGACCAGTAGAATTCAATTATGTCAGTTGAGATAGTTATACATCACAGGCAAAAGCGGGTAGTCACGCATCACTGGATTCTGGTTCAGCGATTGAGAGGTCAAGGGATCATTTTGGGAACCTAAACATCCAGGGCTCGATCTCTGGTAGGGTGGTGGATACTCTTCAATAAGCTATCTCATAAAGGGACCGAATGGATGTTTGTCGATAGTTGCTTAACTAACATCAATTCATAATGTAATCTCTTAAAAATTTAGTATGCTAAAACAGTGATAATAATAATAATAATACCTGTTTTTTCTTTAGACTAACACCTAAATGTTCAGCGCAAACAGCTGATGGATCACATAAATCAGCACATTCATCTGTTAATGGAGTAATTGGTTCACATGCATAACGTCCATCACCAAAATAACCTGGTTTACAAATACATTCAGCTTGTTTATTTAATAGACAAAATGCATTCGTTGCACATCCACATAGTTCTTTCAACCAGTGAATAATAATACACATGCATGGTGAGTAAAATTCACAAACAAAAAAAACAACAAATTATATTGAATGGCTTCTATAGTACAATGATTTAAATAAGATATGGAAATCGAATTATGAATATATATATATATATATATATATATATATATATATATATATATATATATATATATATATATATATATATATATATAACCGTTGAAATACTGTCACCAGATCACGCGTGTATAGCCACTAGCAGGAAAGTAATACACACTGAAATATCTTGATACCAGTCCGTCGGGCAAAAAACTGTGATAAACTACTAACTTTGGAAAAATCTAACGAAAATCCTTACGTGTTACCTACACGTATCAGTGAACTAGTACAAAAATCGATTAAATCGAAGCTATTTTTAAAAACATGACGGAATCTAAACATGTTAGCTTTATGTAATTTCTAGATGTTTTATGGATTGTTGCCGGCATTTTCTGTATTAACTGCAAGACAAAAAAAATGATATTTTAGAGAAACAAACAAACACTATACTATGGATAGTGTAGTAACATAAGGTAGCGAGAAGAGTTCATCTCTCTTTAATCTTACCTTTTAAGAAATCGTAAAATTCACAATAAATCAAGCTATTAAATGAATTGAAACTCATTAATATTGATGACAAAACAAGGAAATTAGTGCATATAGCATATGCAACTGCAATTTAGCTAACTGCACTCACAGAAAAATGAAGCTGTTTGTTCAACACAAGTGTACCCCAAAAACAACACTTTTTCGTCTTGACCTGGATAGTTTCGAATCTCATATAGCAATTCAGTTATCTCTTAAGAACATTTATATTTTTGTCACTCATTTTAACGATTATTATAAGTCTAAATATATAAATGATATACGTGCCTAATAATAATGACGTTAATGTGTAAGGAAAAAGTGCAAACAAAGTTGGTGATGTCTAATCATTCGGTCCGTTGAGGTGAACCTATGTAGAAATGGTGAGTGATGATCTAATGATTGTTGGCCATATATTGTGCCTGTACACACAACCATTCTGAATAGTGGGCGTTTGGTGAGAATTATAAACGAGTTAGGCTCTATTAGGAAGCCGATTTTGTACCTTTACACTGTTCCATAATCTACAGGTCCGTATTATTTCGTCTATTTACCAACAGTTCGTGAACATAATAATTCAGTTTGACAATTAAACCTTGATACCAGTTTCAGTTTTATCAGTTTTCTATTGAGTTCTGTAGGCCTTATGCAGTGAAAATTGTAAGTGATTCGGACAACAAAACACTATAGTTTAATTCTAATGTGAAATGTTTTGTGTTGCAAAAAATTATAAAAAGCTGTTATTCATCAATATACATAACCTATTGAAATACTGAATAAACTATGAAATAATAATGACAGTTAACATTAACATAAGATTACATTATGTTAACAAAAATAATATAAACTCTATAGAATATCAAACTTTCATTCAATCTCTTTGCCAGTAAAGTTTTTTTCTCATATTTAACAAAATTCGAAAATATGTTTTTAATAGGGAGCTCAAGTGTATTACAATTGTCTACATGAACATGAGACGTAATAGTATAATAAGTATAATTATTATTAAACAGTTTCCACGCTTCAGACGGTGTCTGACCAGCGATTCTGAAGTACTTTGTGTAGACAAATGGTAATGAACACTTCGATGTTCTGGATGATGGCTTCAATAGTTCTCCAAGTTTCCTCCCAATACAATAGAACTGTCTCGTTATTTCTATGGAAACTTATGATTTTAGTGTTGGTTGATCGTTGTTTTAAGTTCCAAGAGTTCTTCAATTGTAGAAGTGCTGCACTTACTTTGCCGATCCGCACCCTCACATCCACATCCGATCTACCTTGATTGTCAATGGTGCTGACCAGATACGTAAAGGCTTAAACGTCCTCCTCGAAGGCATCTCCATCAAGAGTGATTTGGTTTGTGCATGTTGTGTTATATTGGAGAATCTCGCTTTACCCTTTATGTTGTTGAGATCTGCTGCTGCTGCTGAAGCTGCTGAGGCTGCTGCTACATTGGTCTTCTTCTCTTGCATTTGTTGTTGCGTGTGCGGTAGAATTGACAAATCATCTGTGAAGTTCATATCGTCCAGCTACATCATGACTATCCACTGTGTCCCGTGCTTCACCTCAGATGTTGACGTCTCCATAATTCGGTTGATCACCAGGAGAAAGAGAGTGTAGGAGGGTAAGTAAGCTTGCCTAATACCGGTCTTCACCTCGAACGAGTCTGCGAGCTGTGAAAATTTTGCGATGTTTTCGGCCCAGTTATTTAGTTTCAGTTTCATCTTGGTCACTATCAAGTGATAATCTGAAGCTATTTAAGCCTCTCTCACACGTCTTCATGGTTGTTTGTAACCTAATATTGATGCAGATATGAAAGAGAGTGTAGGAGGGTAAGTAAGCTTGCCTAACACCGTTCTTCACCTCGAACGAGTCTGTGAGCTGTTCTCCGTGCATGAATTTGCAGTTTAATCCATCATAAGAATTCCGTATGATGTTGAATATCTTCTCAGGCACACCATAGTGTGGAAGAAGAACCCATAGTGTTGTCCTGTCCACGCTATCAAATGCTTTCATGTAGTCAATGAAGTTGATGTAGAGTGATGAGTTCCATTTACCTAATTGTTCCACGACAATCTGTAATGTCGCATTTCGGTCGGCACACGATCGATCCTCACGAAATCCAGCCTGTTGATCTCGAAGTTTGCTTGGTATTGAGAGAAGATTGATGCCTGTGTGCTTCTCACAATTGCTGATATAGCCTTTCTGTGTTATGTTCATGTGGTATGCTCATTTCCAGCCTGTCGACACTTGTTCTTCATCCCAAATCTTGTTGAAGAGAATGTGCAGAATCTTTGCAGTTACTTCTTCCTCTGCATTTATTGCTTGTTTGCTTCAGTGTATTCAGCTTGTGCCCTGACTTTCTCTGCTCTTATTTGGCTGATGTTGATTGTCGCCTTCTATGCCTTTTTTCTTCAATTTTATCAAGAGTACCAACAGAGATCCTCCGAGAACTTTCAGAGATATTGAAGGTATTACCTCCTTGATCCCTTCGCGATTGTTCTGAATGGTAGTTTCTTTTCCATTGAGTATATCGTGCAAAGCCTGGAATCTATTGCTGAGGTCTATTTTGAATTGATTGAGCTTTATAGTATCCAGACGGATGAAAGGAAATAGGCTTCTGTATGACCTTAAACTGAGACATGACATCAGTTCACAAAGCGGTTGGTTTTTGAACTAAGCTGCGTATAGAGATACAGACTACCTGGTGTGTGGCAGAGCGATCGCTGTAACCTATGATTGATGATGTTGGGTGACAAGGTTGAATATTGATTACAATAGTGTTCTACTTTGGTTTAAAATAGTAATACTTTATACTTGTGTTAGTTGATTATTTCTTCTCGAATCATATTGTCTTTTCCTAAACGTTTGTACTTCAACTTATTCTATTACGAAATCCACTACTCTGACATTTCAACAGATAATTTCGTCCTACTGGTGTGATAAAATGTGCCAACTAGAACCGATACTTACGTTATTGAGTGACTAATAATAAAATCGAAACTAACGTATGCTACTACTTACTTGCTATTTCATCGAAATCCTTTTCAGAAATATTTTGACCTATAGAATAACGTGTACCGAGTATTGATGTAGTATAATCAATTCCTCGGGCTGGATGATAATAGCATAGATAGAGTAGACCTTCACGTTGGGCAATCGCCTCACGATATAATAACATATCTTTTTCACTTAACATAGCTGATTTACGATTATTATTATTCATGTTATTATTAACATGCATGGGCGATGTCAGATAAGTAGTAATTTTCTCTCGATCCAATACAGTCCCTGGTACACTTGAACATAGACCGGAACTACTAGCTAGATAAAAACCATCTTTTGATGGTGGTACACGTAGAAGTAGATTTTTATCTTCACGACAACATTGCATAAAATAGACAACATGATTTTCAACATCTTCATGCCAGTGACTATTGGAAATTATTTCACCATCTGATGATACAGAATGAATACTTTTTAAGATGAAACGTGGAATTTTCAATGGAAATTCTTTGGAAGCTTCTAGATAACAAACCAGAAACAAGATCAATCATAAATATTTGAGGGAAAAATGGCAAGCGAAAAACGACACATATTTTCATTCACAATCAAAGTTTTTAATATCCATATTTATGTATATTTGAACAACTTAATGAAAATAAAGTTATATTCAACATTACCAGTGACTGGTACATATAAATTTAGAACTGCCGGTCATTTGTCCATTCATCTACAGAGTGGGTATTGTTTATTGAAGTGTAATTTTTATTAAAGATTTCAATTCGAGAATATGAAGTTATCTGAAACTATGCCATGAACTTTACAGTAACCATAGTTCAACTAACCGGAAAAAAATATCACTATTATTGAAAACTATGACTTAAAATGAAATCTCTAAATAAAAAAAACAATATTCTGATATGTTGTCATTTAGTAGTAAAAAGAATGGTTACCATTGATGAATGAATACAACACACATATATATTCAATTATTTACTGAAATAAATAGAAAATGATGGAGTAATATCATAATACCATTATGGCGGTTGTAAAGATTGTATGCCCATTGATGATAAGCTTTGAACAGAAATTTCCAGAGTTCTGATAAGAAGCAACGATCAGTGAAGCTCAGCTGTGTCGACCATGAAGACAGCCACTAAAGACAATGGTAAAGCAACATCACAGATTGGTTGAGGTAAAACTTGTGTAGTGTTGGATCCTGATTCAGTGGTTTAGAAGTTAAGCACGAGGTCCAGTATTCAAATGTCATGAAGGTTGTGGATCTTCACTCCTGAGAAGTCCCATACCAGGATGAAATGGTTGTTCAAAGCTTCCTAGTCTTGTTGGTTGTCTAAATTAAACCTGTCAACTATCTCAATAAATTTTGATTTAATGATAAGAGGTTATCGTGTTTTTCTATTTTGAGGTCACCCTATGGGATACACGTGCACATATATTAATGAATTGTATAAAAATGACCAATCTTGTACCTAGTACTACCTTAGTTCGTGATCCATAAATTATTCCCTTACAATGTATGTCATATATAACTTCAACGCGATAAAAAATTTATAAGATTTCTTAAAGTATGTCAACTATTGGAGTTGATTGTGTAGGTTAGTTGTTTGTAAATAGGATTGTTGGTTTGCAGACAGCAGATTCGAACAACATTTGGGTTTAGTGATTTCTAAATATCAGTTAAGTCTTATTTTTAAATGGAATAATGTTACTAAAAAGCTTAGGAAAAAAATCGTATAATTTATTACATACTCATTTCAACTGGACAATTTTTGTTCATTGTAAATACACAGTAGTCACCAGCAGGCCATGTTGAAGAGTTTTTTTTACTTCGACTCTGTGCATTAATATGCACGCAAAATTCCATGGTAACGTGGGCAGTTACATTGAATATAGTCTCTGTATTGGTGTTTGGATTACTCATTAACTGCTGTTCAGTCTCACTGCTTGTAAATATAAATCGTTTACGTTCAAATGTTTCTGGACATTGATATTTACTGCCACTGAGAATATTTCTACCATCATGTACATTGTCAGATGACGTTGTTGTTGCATCTTGCTCATTATCTGCAACAACTGTTGTCATATACGATGTACGTAAACCACTACGTCTTCCTATAGGAAGCATATATTCACCATCTGGCCATTCAACAGTGTCGTTCATCCATGAAATCGGTAAATAATGACATAGAACATCCCATTGTGGTTCATGTTTACCTTCTGAACCGGAAACTAATCGTACAAGATAACGTTCCACCTGACAGTATTTTTGTTTCACAAATAAATTGACAATAAATTTGAGTAAATACACTGAAATTATTAAAACGTGTAAATCATACAGCTACATTTACTAGTTATTTGTTAAAATAACCAGCAATCATTTTTCTTGGGATTTTCACGATTTCATTGATAAAACGATACATCAGAACTTAAACTAGTTGAGAGTTATCATGCAGCAGTTTCCTCAGTGTCTAGGAAAAATTCATGCTTAATTCACTATTATTTACCAGTGTAATTCATAAAATTCTAACTTAATAGTCTGTCTTTGATCTCCAGTGATGTCGTGAGTGAATATTCTGAAAACAAACATCTGTCCAGTAGTCCTTGATTTTCAGAGGCTGTCCAACTAAAGTCATTGTGTGATATAGAACTTCAGATCTATAAGCAATGGACTAATTGAATGACGAATGATTCATTTGTGTACTAAGATTTGTAAACTCCACTCGCCGTTACAGTAATGTTAATCAAATTTTACTTGATTTTTGGGGTCTTTTATTTAGTTTAAACATACGTCCAGGAATCGGTTGACAATTTACATACCTTTTTCAAACTGGCGACGTATTTCTGTTTAAAACTGATTTTATATTCGGTAATTCGTAACGGAATTGTACGTGATCCAAATACACAGGGTTTAGTCAACTAATATGTATAATCTAATCTACGTTTGACTACCCTTGATGCGGTCGTAGGTGGCTCCCATAACGATATATTTATGCAATAATTTCTGATTTGCAATGGTTGTCTCAACATGTTCAAAGCTTGATGTGAAGAGAGAGGACGCCAAGTAACATATCCACGACTATGATAATAGTTAGTGCTAGCCAGAAACAAGTTGTACTCTGTGCAAAGTCTCAGCGGGCAGTCACTGTTATCTGACTTGTGACTAAAAGGCCCCATTGGCTACCCAGATGGCTCTATGTGCCTAGACACCCTTTGCATCAAAGTATTTGGCTAGCAATACAATATATGTCAAACGCATTTTCTAGAGATGATCATTGAACAGGACAATATTATCACTATAAGCAAACTGTTGTATGAGTTGTAGAGCAAAGTAATACACAAAATATGAATAAGAGAAAAAGCAAGTGATGCTATAAAAAGTTGGAGCCAGTTTTAACAAATAATTTCAAGTATGATTTGCAAGAATGAAAACTAAAGTGTATGTGAGGGCTAGTAGTCATACATCATTCATCCGCTCAGGATACTGGACCATATGTACACCATTGGTTTGGAATCAGGGTATTCCAACTCTTTAAGGCGGATCATTGGTACTTATCAAACATTTCTTTGAGGTATTCATCAATACATTTCTGATCCTTTCAAAAATCGTTATTTTCTCTTGAATATGGTCTATTTCTAGCCATAATGTTCTTACAGAGGGTAGCAGTATAAACTGGTTTCTCAAACCGACTTACGTCTAAAGAGGTTTGAAATTGGAAAAGGTTATTTGAAAGTTGAGTAGTTTAATCACCAGGTAACCGCTCCTTTCAAAATTTCATAAATACCTTGGAATAAAGTTATTCATTATGATATTGTTCTCAGATAAAATAAAAAGCTTTCAGATTTTTACAATAGCAATAGCTTAGCCTTATCTTGTGGAGAATCACGCGACCAAATGTATCTAGACCAGTATGACTGAGTCTGAACCGTAAAACTCTGAATCGCCATTCAACTGTGATCATAGTCACGTGAACCTTAGATGGACAGTCATTCAGTTTGTCTTAGTCTTACTACTTATAGCCTTTTCCACCTATTGTGTTTTTTCAACCATTTTCTACGCTACCTTGATTAATTATAACCTCATTTCGATTCATTTTGAACTGAATTCGTTCATAATGAAAAGAATAATATTTGGTTGCTGGTAGTCGACTACTCAAATTATATTTATAAATACTGAACCTTAGCATTAGATATTTTCTGAAAGCAGTTGTGTTATGTTTATTGGCTTGATATAATAATGATATACACTTCTCAGGGTCTCTCAAAACCTCTGTTGAAGAGAAGAAGAACGAAAGATTACTGGAAATTGTGTCGAATTATAATATGCTCAAGTATATAAGTGATGGACCTCCCAACCCAAACAAGAACATATATATATATATATATATATATAGGAAAGTTTAGTGCATACCCTATCGATTACACCAATAGAGTATTGTTTATAGGTTTTCACTTAAAGTTTGACCTTCAGATGGGATCGAAGAAAAGGTTTTAATATTTTATACTCGTCTAACTCATCACATCTTCCTGTACTTTTCTTTCTAACTTCAGTTTAATTAACAAAACATCAGTGAGAGTATATGGTGGGTTTAAATTGCAATAAAAATTGATTCACATCATTGAAAATACTGAATTTTAACTCACATGAGTATCTTTTATCGGTAAACACTTTTCACCACCGAATAAAAAGAAATCTTCAATAAATGGCCAATTCACAGGTTTGGGATCTTTAATATTATCAGTTCGACAGCAAAGTTCAGAGAATGCTCGAGCATGTCTATGAAGACCTGAAAATAAAGATATATGCTAATAAATATGATATCATATACTCAAGCTGTAAAATCATGTTTTGCCGTTTGCACATCTACTGAAAATAACAATAGTTTGGCCGCAAAATGCATACTTGTTTGAAGCGTATCTCTGACCATTATCTTATCCGGCTATCTGATATATTATGAAATTCAATCAGAAGCTCATTCTTGGGACATGTAGCTAATGCCAGTTACTCTGCTTCAACAGAAACGTTTTTCAAAATTATCCACAGAGTCAGAAGAATTGGCTTAAGAGGAATACAAATGAGAAACTCAGTTACGGTAGAAGTTATAGCTACCTATGAATTCAAGCCTTACCTTCGTATACAAATACAATACGTTCATTCACTCATTCTAGTGTGGTCTAAATAATCCTTTCCATCTTCCAAAATTTATCGTGATATTTTTCTACTAGTTTTCAATAATTTTTTTACGACTTTAAGTTAGCCATTGTTACAGCTTTCAGTTATTCATAGTATTGTGCGATTTATGGAAATTCTAGAATTTTCATACTACAAATCATGCACTGATTTTAGTTAGACCACCATTGAAATCCATAAAACCCTAGACGGCGGTTTCGCTTACCCACCTGTCTAGAGGTGAGGTGTTTACACTGGACCAAGGGTCGTGAGTTCAGTCCTGTTATTCAGGTTCCTGAATGCATGTTGTTGTGGGGATGCACACTAGGACGAAATAGCTGTCTAGAGCTTCCAGGTTTTTAATGGTAGTCTAACCAAGATCAGTTTTTGAATTAAACTATGAAAATTTTTCTTATTCCGTTCTTAATATCAACGAAGTGGATAATTACCTTCTCTTCAACTTTTTTATTAGACCTTAAAATATTACATAACTGCCTTTCAGTATCTGATATTCGTTCACATCTCGAGACACGAAACCACCTTGATTTATTATAATTATTCAAGGCCATACTATTTCACTACAGACTACTATTTTTAACAGTTATATAAAAAACATTTTCGTTGACTTATGCTAACTTTTGTTTAGTGACACAATACATTTCTTTCGTTATTCAATGTACATCAAACGCTTATATAGAAGTCTGTTCAAATAACTATATCGACTAAGCGCTTGTTAGGATCTTCACCAAATATGCTAATAATAATCGTTTGGTAAGTGTAAATTATATTGGTCGATTCCTATTGGTCAATATTATGGTCGTCCTAGCTATCAATGTAGCGCAGTTCAATGTTATTTCTTATTGGTCGACCCGACTATCGATGTCACTTCAAATGTTTTTTCCTATTAGTCGCCTTAACTGTCAATGTCACAGACTTCGATGCTGTTTCCTATTCGACCTTAATGTATTAAAACGCATTATCTGTAACATATAATGACCCAGACTTCTTCTTCTTTCACTCAACGGGGGTTGGGACACTTGGATTAGAGTAGCATGTCGTGTCACCGGATCCTCGATCCTCGCTCTCGTTCTCTGACTAACTTAATTTCGTATTAGTTCAAGCATAACAAATGAGTTGTTTACGTGCATGCGTAACAACTGACTATTCAAATTATGTAAATATGACTAGATTCTATCTGGTTAATAATAAAATTGTTTATAGTATTCAAAAAGTATCTTACAAGCTCGCTTGATTTTTCCCTTTAAAGTCAACTTTAATTTTCAACACCACCAGTTGATTATACTTTGCTTTGACCTAATCTCTTGTATATGACATAACTAGTTAAAAGATTTAAATATGATCGTTTGTATTTCAACTTTTTAAAAAAATTCACTCCCATCGTCTTGGGTTTTTCTTTTCACCGAACTACTGTTTGTTCTGTATGATTATCAACAGTATTTGTTAGTGTTCATGTTGAATTAAACTTGAATTTATTGTGTTGGAGAGATTTTCTAACTGAATTAATTGAATTCATTGAAAATTGTTTATTCATTATTCAAATTATTTGTGTTATTATAGCATTGATTGAATTTTGTCAGCATTGAAATACATAGGATGGTAATTGTGAACTATGTGTAATGTTATACATGCTGAAGATTGTTTTATGTCATTTTCTTAGGTCTAACATAATCAACAACATACAATCTCAGTGTTCATATCATAATATACTCAAGATTATAATGAAATTTATAAATTGCTAAGAAATATCAATAGTTCATTCATTATTTTTCAAGCATTTACTTTATTTTTGAAATTAAATTAGTTTTCCATATAAACTAGCTTCATATTAGACTTTTCTTTTTAGATATTATACTTTAGGAATTAAAAAAAAAACACATTACAAAGGGAATTATCAGAATGTGTAACATTTTACAAACCTGGTGGACATTGATGATTTTCAGCTGTCGAGATCACACAATAATCACCTTTAGGCCATTGAGATTCAAGAATTCTTTTGTCATCTAATAATGTGGTTGTTGTTGTTGTTGTTGTTGTTGAAGAAGAAGAAGAAGAAGAAGAATTAACTGATTCTTCTTCTTCTTCATGATTTGTTTCATCTGTTTCATTGATCGGCAGTTCATCAGTAGTAGTTACATTTGGATTATTTCTTGCACAATAATGTACATTTAATGCACTATAATTATGTCCCATTAATTCTAAAAAATAAGGACCTAAACTCATTGGCATAATTTCTAATTCAAAGAATGCAGCTTGATTATTAATTAATGAATAATAATGTTGTGTAAATCCAGGTGGACATGCTTTATCTAAATCATTTCTATGTACATTTGGCAAAGCATATTGACCTGATGGCCATTCACTTTGAAAATAATAACCTATTGAATAAATAAGAAAAAAAAATTAACATTAAAAAACAAATATTATTATTATTATTATACCATTCAATAAACAAATCAAACATATATATATATATATATATATATATATATATATATATATATATCAATGGTGGTTGTAGGTGGTTCACAAATAAAAACACCCCCAATTTGATCTCGATTTCGTACTAATTTATACCCTTCTGGCAAGCTATAACTAAAGAGTTTAGGGAATTGATGCTATGTTTCGAATTCAGATCATTTATCTGTAGCTGCAAGCATTACCACTGGACCATTCGAGACATGATTGAACATTTTTATTGGTGAGTTATTTTAACAAATGATTGTTCACTAAGTAGTGATCAACTTCATGCTTGTTATAAATAGTAATTAAACAGCAACCACATTGATTTTTGAAACTCATTACTTATATCTTCTTCATTTTATCTTGATAGTTTACTATATTCTTTACATTGTAGTGTTAAGTTTATCCATCTAACTGTGTACTAATCTATGAATATTTATTTATCATAAATAGTTTTGTTGTTTTCAAGATCCAGCATATACGGCATGAAGTCAGCAATGAAATCTAGAACATGGGTTTCATCATTCCATTTGAGGCTCGGTGAGATTGGACTGAATCACTTCTCTGTGTTGATATTCACGCTGAGGCTTGAATTAGTTGAATTAAAATTGGAAAATTAAAGCCTCATACTTTGAGATATTAAGTTCACATGACAACTACATATTTCAGTGTGTATGAAGATGTGTTATGTTAATAACATTTTTATTTGACAGACAAGTGAATCAGTTTTCTTAGAAGTGTCCTATAATAGGTTGACATTATTTCTAATTGGTTTTTAAAATGGTATGGTTTATACTGTCTTCATTGGTTTCAAGCCAAATGACTTTTGAATTTTCACTGGACATTGGTAAATGTAAATTGTATGTAAGATCTACTTTTCTAGACTGTGCATATGTTTCACTTTTTATTCTAGTCTAATCTGCGTTATTCAAATAGTGAACTTTGGGATTATGTAATCAATTAAAGTTGCATTGAATACTCAAGCGTAATCATACTCTGAATTAAGAAGTGATTATCAATAAGTAAACTGCTAATAATATGTATGGTTACTTACTTTCTGTCTCTTCATTTTCTGAAACAGTGGGAGCTGAAACAATAAATAAGTGCAAGTGTGTTGTAATAATCATTCCATCTGTGAATGATTAATATTTTGATTGAAAGGCCTCAAATTACCTAACTTATTCTTCTTCTTAAAATATAGTAGTTCACATGTGTCAGGAAGCCTGTGGTAACATTTTCTCCAGTCGTATATTCCATAAATTTCACTATTATCTGATCGGTTGTTCTCGATTTTGATTCCGTTATGTTTTTGACTTCTTTAAGCATCATTTTGATTTTCAAGTTCCTAACTTCGCTATCTTTCTTAGATGGAGGTGTTATGTACTGATAGTCCGATCTATCTACTTCGTATAGATACCATCCATATTAGTAGTTCAAAATTATCATAGGCTTTTAAGTAACATCACGTAATTAATCTCCTTGTATACAATATTTCCTGTTAGGGCGTAATCATAAGAGAAGACTAAAATAAGTATGTTGAAATGCTCAGTGAACGAACCTAAACAGAAACATTTAAGCGGACACGTTGACTAGATACCTCTCCAGCTTCCTTACTCATCTATAATTCTCACCTACTTTTAGGCCTTAAGACGGCATTTGAGTACAGGTAGTTGACATGTTCTTACTTACTCACATTATCAGTTTGAATCCAGTAACTAGTGTTTTCCTATTTATAAATTTTTTCCGCACCTATTTCGGTACTAACTAACTAATCAATAAACTAGTCAGATACTTACTTGAAATTGCTCTGTATATTTATATCTTTAATGTTTGCACAAAGTTCTGGGTACTGAGTATTTTTACAAAGGATAGTAATGTCTGAATGCTTCATTTTTCTAAAATTCTCACACAAACTTTATAATTACCGAATATATGAAGTGGGATTAAAATAAAATGAACATTTATTAACCTTACTTACCCTGTTCATAATAGCACATATTGATCTCAACATCACAAAAATCATGATATGGTACACGTGCAGGTGTTAAACCTTTCACATTATACGGTAACCAAGTATGATTCTGACCGATTGACCACCAGTTTGGATCACCTCGACTCGGTGCATCTACACAAATATATTCTTCGGTAACATGCATTCCAGTGATTTGTTGGCATTTATCTCCGACCCTATAAAAATGATTATTATTATTATTATTATTATAGATTTTCATGAAAGTTGTTTTAAATTTACAACTTCATTAGAATGCACACTTGATTGAGGATTTGACTACATTGAACTTCGTCAATGTAAAAAAGAATAACAACAGCTTACCTGTATAAATAAAATGGTCCAGTTTCAGCAGGAAAACCATCAACAGGACTATCAACACTTGGGGAATCAGTTCGACAACAGAAATGATAATTTAATCGATCAATTTTTGATGTACTTTCCTTTATATATGCTTTTGTACGAATAATATCTGGTGTAGACGTTGTTGTTTGCCGGAGCAAATCTATATTTGAATTTATATGTGAATCTGAGGTATCTTTAGAACGAGTCAGCTTTTCTGGTCCTTCAAGTATACTTAACAATCCCTCGCTGAAATCTGAAAAAATAGTTTAACTATATGTATAACAACAATATATTAGTTTTTAATATGTATATATATACACTAGTTTGTCTGATAAGTGTGCTCAATGAGATCATATATGTTTATTTTAAATTTTAGGTACTTAGATTATATCTCCTTTTAAGTACTATGAACTAAGAGCAGTTCGTCGTCCTATCTTCTTTTTCGTCTTTTGAATTGTCTCTAGACGTGCTCAGATTACAGGAACCGTCGTCGACTAATCCTTTGATGTTTTATTGTCTTCAAGTCTTTTTAGTACCAGTGTGGTATAACCTTTCTGTATTTGGAGACTGGAATCAGTTTCAAGGTAATAGGACTGATGAGTAAGGAGTTGGATTTAGTATGACGAAATTGTTATCCTATGTTTTGTAAGATGAAGTTTATTGGATACTGTACACTGATTTTTGTGGTCCTCAACTCTATATTAAACCGGTTGACTCTATCACGCAACGATTATTTAGCATCATTAGAGATTACTTTCTTCCTTCAGACAGATGAACTGCACCAATGATGAGTCTTTGTGTTCAAACTCTCACGACATCGTTAATTGCTTTATAAAGGAGTTTCATGGTGGTATCGAAAAGCTGTTTACTGATAACTGACTATCACTGGTACAAATAATTCTGATTTCGATTTGTAAATGAAGTTCTTGGGATGTGAATCGGATTAGGGCATAAACTTGACAATTGTTTGTTAGAATTTTTCCAAATGAATGTTTAATATCAAATAGCCTTAGATTTAATGCTATGAGTAAGGCCATGAGTAAGCAGGAAGTTTTTATTGGGTTTCCCGATTCGGGATGTATACAAGAACTCATTCACTGCAAATACATGTCACCCTCAGAAAGTCAACGTAGATTTTCAACCAGTAAGGTATAGCTGTCTCCGCAGAAAGTCGAGCCATTTATTAACAAATAGCTTACGCCCATCAGCACCTCACCTATCATTCACCACTGAACTGATACATTATTTTTATTAAGAGGAGGAAATAAAGTCATCATGCAATTTACCTGCTGGACAATTACCATTGACGCGTAGTACACAATAATGACCAGCTGGAAGAGATTCTTCACCTCCATAGTTTCCTGTATGATGAGCAGATTGGTCGTCAGTAAATACACAATAGTCCAACAGTACATCTTTTTTACGCCTAAAATAAACTCCATCCAAATGAATTGGCTGTTTGGTGGTAATTGGAACAAGATTAAAAGATTAGAACGAAGGATATTTTACATTTAGATTGAAAGTATGTGCATACAGATCATTTTAAGGTTTGTTGTAGATTTATATTCATTCAAATATCAATTATAATAATTGGGTAGTTAGAAGTAGTCGATAAGAAACCCTAATTGACATAAATCTCTCAGTATTTGACATATATTTGTCAGGTATCCCTGTAATTTTGAGGTGACTGATGTTTCTTGTAAGGTTTGAACTCTCGTCACTTAACTTTACAGTCCGAGGAACTTCGTGACGAATGCTTCGATCAGTTTAACATCTTGATGTAGTGAAGTTGGTGTTGAGTCACTCAAACTATTGATGACACTGTGATTTGATTGATAAAATAATTTTTTCAGTAAATGAACCATTGGTCAGTTTATTTGTCCTTTAGCTGTTACCTACATAGTTAACGAGTGATATGATTGCGTACTTTTTATGAAGGATTACGTTTTGATCACGTTTGTACTGATCATATTGTTTAGAAAGATAATCAAGACTTTATGGTGAAAATATCCAGTTGAGAAGGTGGTTTTTCAATGAATTTCATTTTCTTGTGGTTATAAATCTTCTTCACCGAAATGCAGTTATCTTAAAGGATGACCGAATGTATACACAGACTTTCCGTAGTTTGAAGAACAGTCTCATAAAAATTAACAGATAAAATTGATTTTACAGTAAAATTTCTTTGAATTAAAGCTATACGAAGCATTATATTTTATGCTTAAAGTAGTTAATTTCAGCATAACCGATGATATTAACCATGAATTTGCTAGTATTGGTTCATTACAACAGAATAGTGGATGTTCTCTTACTAACGATCTAAGTGTTTTTTAAACAATGATCTAATTCGGTTTGATAAAGATGAAGTTTGACGTATTTATTTTGATCGATTCAAAAGATACAAATAAACAATATATATTAAACTGCCTCCATAGCACAGGTCAGTAGTTATCTGGACTCAGAAGCTAAGTGGTTAGAGCCATAGTGTCAGGAGCAAACAGTACCCAGTTCGACGCCTGGATTGAACATCAATACTACGATCTAGGTATATATAGCTAACGAGAAACACGTCCTGGATCATACTAATAACCATCATCCATAAGTTTCGATAATTTTGAAAATCAGTAAGTAATTTTACTTTTATGTTTAAAAGTTATAATGTCTCTATTAGCAGCTAGTTCTTGACACAAAGCTTCAAATATCGGATAATCAGCTACTGGAGGATCGAAACAGAGGAATACATATTTGCGTCTGGTCATTGCGTGAAGACAAAATGACCAGCTACAACAAATGTGAGACTATTCTACATAGCAAAATAGATTTGCCTTTGATTTCACTAAAATCCTATTTTGTACTTGCATTAAAACACTTTTATTCTTATAATATCTGGTTTTTGACCCCTGATGTTATTGTGTGCATAACGTAGTCGAATAACCGTGACCAGGAATTTCAGGTGTAACCTTCCATTTATTTTCATCATCCTATGGCTGATTTTTTCAATTTTGATCAATTCTGAGTACGTTTTGAGTTGATAAGCGTAAAAATATAATGAATTGCCTTACACGAACGATTCTATATTTGTATTTGGAAACGGCGAAACCAAATACTAATCGGTCATTAAATAATGATGTTTTATCAGAATACAGTACCGACAACACTTACTTGGGAATAATGAAATCCATATCTGTCTTGTTGATGTCTCATCGTTGCTTTTACTGAACCTTTTGGACAATCATTCAATGATTTTGGTATGGCATAGTTTGATACAGGCCAATCTACATATTAAAAGACGTATATTTAAATAAATACAAACTGATCAAGAAAATGGAATGTGTAGTGTGTAGAGCCTATTCCATGTGACTTGTATTTTCGTCATTAACTGTATTCATTGACTACTGTGATCGGAAGGGGTTATTGTAGAAGTTTTTACCATTTTCAGCATAAAACACACATTATCAAATGGAATCTAACAACAGTGTTGCCGAAAGATACGAGTTAAAAAAAACTATCAATATAAAATGTAAGAATAGCGTTCCGAGTTGTCACTATGACTATGTGTATGTGTTTCATTAGTGAATATCACTTAAAAATTCCAAGTTAGAACAGAAAATAATTAACTACTCCTAATTTTAAAATTGTCACTTCACAATGAGAAGAGTTATTCAAGATTACAAAAGAAATCAACTAATCAACTTTGATATTTATGAATTCTTTAGGTGTATCAAAACAGAAATTTTGAACATTGCAGGTTGAATTTTACATTTTTTCTAGCAATTATTTCCGTTGTGATGGGTTTGTGGAGATTACGTAAAGTTTTTGGTGATATTTTACATAAGCTATTGAAATTATTGAGTAAAATTGTTGTTGAATGCGTTTATAAACGTCTAGAGTGAAATATTCATCACCGTCCATATCGAATGATCTAATCATGTGGTTTTATGGTTACACTCTCGTCACGAAATCTGAGAATTATGTGTTCAGCCCCTAATGAGACCATGAGTGTCCACTGCTACGAGCTCCATACTTAGATCAAATGGTTGTCTAGATTTCACTACTAATCATATATGAAGAGAATCTAATACAAAAAGAACTTAGATTTTATTGATTTAATTCACTAAAAAAATCTTCATGAAATATACATTTCTCAACACTTAATGGTTTCACCATTCATCAAAACATTGTACTGTCAAGCTCATAACTTTAGCCTGTCTCCTTAATTTATTCGAATTTATTATAAGTAGATTAAAAAACTAGAATAAATAGGGTGCTAACTTACTACGATTGTTATCTGCACCAAATGCTTTGCCTGTACCATATTCACAATATATCATATGTACAATATCATTTTCTAACCATATACCAGTTTGCATTTCGAATTGAGGAGCATTCCATTTTGAAACATTAAATAATGTAAGTAAATATTTGTACTGTCCAAACAATTGTTTATTTTGTAAACGTGATGATGATGAGATATTTTCTGGTATGTACATACTTTCAACAACACGTCGTTTTAATTGTATCTCACGAAACTGAGGACAGTAATTGGAATCCTTTATGTGTTTTTGTGAATTAATTTGTTCATACGTAGTTAACACTTTGGTACCGATGAAATTTTTCAATTCCTTCTTGTCGTCTTTTGTTGGCCAACCCAATGTGACGAATGAACGAATTGTTGGTGTGTTCGAAGACGTTATCATTGATGATGTCTGATTTATTTTACCTACTTCTGGAGTATAATCCTTTATAAGGCAACAAATAACCGTATTCATATATGGTGCAGCTCCAAACTCTCTAAAGACTGAAGTAGGGACATTAATAACAAACTAACACAGACATCTGGTGCACAAAAAAGTGATTACTTCAATAATTTACACAGTGAACTGGGCTTGCTTAAAGTCATTGAAATTCCGGAATCACTGATGAGCTATTTCGTTCCGAGAAAGGTGGACTGATCATCTGCAACCTAGTCTTTACACAGCTGAGCCTGTATCTAACGGTTTGTTTAACCATATGAAGTAAGACGTTCAACGAAACAGAGTTTCGAAACTTCATCTTTTTCAGCGGTTTTCTAGCTAGGATCAGTCCAGTATTGTACAAAATGAGGTTCTGATAAAGAGAGGCAATCAGAAGTGTTTGAACGAAAAGTTCACCTGATAAAAATCAGAAATGTTCCAAAGGACTAATGTACATTAATGGTCAAGAAATACGTTGATTTTCTAAGTGGAAGGAAGGTTTATCTATAAATGAATATTCATGAACATTATTCGGTAGCCAAAAAGCCTTTCTCTTTCTCACTTTCACCTGCTCGCTCATGCAGCCCCTTTTGGGGGCTTAACACACTAAGATCTAGTACACCAAACATCTTAAAATATTGTACAATCGCCATAAAACTCCTACAGTAAGAGTAACTGCTTGTTGAAAGAACAGGTTACATCTTGTTGATGGGAAACGGAAACAATAAATCATAATTGGTGACCTAAAACTAACTTTTATTTTAAACACATCTAATTTTGTTTAAATAATGCTTACCCAATCAAATGAATACTTAGGTCTTTTCAAAAGTTAAGACGGTAATGAGTTATGATGTTATCGACTTCATGCTGATGTAAGGAATAAATGGAACAGTTGTCCACTGATAGCATTGGCAGATAGTTGTGCGATGTTACAAATGACTTACAGTTCGCGATGTACTTCAATGGATACGTACTCAGTGAACTAAAGCATAGGCAATCATAGCTAATCTTGAAACTCCTAGATTCGATCACTGGTTTAAATGTGAATTCACACTGTCAGTGTCCCTAAGTGGGGAGAAATAGCAGTCCAGTATTTTCAGTTTGTTGTTAAAGTAAGCTTGGTGGTGAATATATAACTATTTTTTTCTTAATATTTTGTTCAAAAAAACTCATAAAAGCTAGAAAGATCAAAGTAATAAATAGGGTACACATCAAATTTCAGCTTATTATTGCCTCAAAATGGTACAATCTAATGATCATCTCTAGTCTGTAATGTTTAACACATACTTTGCATTTCATACAGTAATTTAAATAAAACTTTGTACTAGTAATTTAAAAAGAACTGGAATCGAAAAATCAGTACATTTCGAGAAATTTAGACCTGTTACTGAAAAGTAGTATATTTAAAAAAGACAAATAAATATGTCTTTTGTGTATATATGTGTAATTTTTTGATGAATAAATGTTATCTAATGAACCAGTGAACATGTACTATGCCATACAGTTATTTCGCATATTTATGATATGTTATCATATTCAATTCATATCATACTTTTACTAACATAATAAATTCTATTGGATATAATATTTTGAATAGTTTGTTAACTGAAATTTCAAATAATTTTATCATATAAAGGAATGTAAAATTTATCAGAGCTGGTATAGTATTATTGGATGCTGATTCAGTGGTTCTAACAATCAAGCCTTCACTGAAGGCCTGTGAAGGACTTTGAATGAACAATACTGATAAGTCTAATACTAAGATGAAACAGATGAGTGATATCTAATTTTCAGCGATAGTCTAAATAAAAAAAACATCTGAAATGAATACAACCCAGAAAAAGTCATCATAAATCCTTTGTAATAATTACACAGGCCTCTTACATTTATATGGACAACTGCCAAACACCGAAATACAATATCCAGTTGAAGGATGAATTAATGTGGGAACATTTTCTAAGTTTAATTCATTGAAGCATATTTCATTTGTGTCACCTGTACGTGTTGTCCAACGTGGTCTTTTGTACGTTAACCAATGATCTTGCACTGAAATTAAGCATTAAGTACAAGTAGTTATGGAGAACATATAATTCTTATTAAATTTTTCATTTTTACAGAGAGCTTAGTGGTAATGTCTATACTTATCAAACACTTGGTTAGTAAAAGTTTAAACGACATACAGAAAGCATTATATATATGTCATAGTTTCAATTTTCTTACCATTGATATCAGGAATGTTTTTGATCAGTCTGTGTTGGTATATGAGCTTCCTTAGTGAACTATGTGGATAACAACTTCAGTTATAAGCTTTTTAATATTCAGCGAGAAAGCTGATAGCTATGTGAACTCAGTAGCTCAGTGTTTAACATTTTGGCGTTTGAGACTAAGATTCCAGTTTGTAGTTCCCGTATAATCATCAACACTATGGTTCAGGTAAATGTAGCTGAGAAGTCCTGAATAAAATGAAACATGACTCATGGATTATAACCGCTTTCGACACGTCTGAACTTACAAAACCTAGACTTCAATATATGTTAGTAATCCCAAGAGTAGTTGGTTCATAGTAAGAAAATAATCGTTGATGAAAAATTTTTGTATTTTTAACTACGCCTGAAGACCCTCTGCGACTACTGTCGGTTTCAAGCCCGTACACTGAAGAGTGGTATATACGGTTGGCGACCCCACCGCATAAAAAATTAAATCCCTAAAAATACGCTAACTAGAAAACTGAATCCAAATCACATTCACACTACCCTGAGTGTTAGAAGGTCTTCATTCAGAAGAGTTATGACATCTCATGATGAAAGCCGAATCGCTTCGGAAATCAAGGAGCCTATGTCCCTTATTTCGTCGAGATACTAGAAACCTCAATGAATTCAAAATAGACCTGAGTCAGAGGTTCCAGACCTTTCACGATCTACTCAACGGAAAAGAAACTACCATGGAGAACATTTGCAAAGAGATCAAAGAGGTAATCCTTCCAACATGTCTGGAGGTTCTCGGAAACAAGACGTATCACCACAAGAAATGGATCTCTGTTGGTACTCTTGATAAAATTGAAGAAAGGAGGAACAAGAAGGCGACAATCAACATCAACCAAGCAAGAGCAGAGAAAGTCAAGGCACAAGCTGAATACACAGAAGGATCTGCAAAGTAAGGGCAGCACTTCTACAATCGAAGAACTCTTGGAACTCAAATGAACTACCAACCAACACCAAAATCAGAATTCTCCATAAAAATAACGAGACAGTTCTACTGTATGGGAAGGAAACTTGGAGAACTATCGAAGCCATCATCCAGAACATCGAAGTATTCATTAACAGCTGTCTACACAAAGTACTTCGGAATCGCTTTACAGACACCGTCAGCGACAACAGGATCGCAGTTGAGGAGGAGATCAGGAAGAAACGGTGGAAGTGGATAGGGTGCACTTTGAGTAAGGCACTCAACTGCATCACAAGCCAAGACCTCATTTGGAACTCTCAAGGTGGAAGGAAGAGTAGAAGTCCAAGGAACACAGTACGCCGAAAAATAAAGACAGACATGAGAATAACGGACAAAATGTGAACGGAGCTCGAAAAGTATGCCGAGGACAGAGTAGGTTGGAGAATACTGATCTGCTGCCTTTTCTCCGTTGAGGAAACTGTCATCAGTAATGATGTATGTATGCTGTAGTCAGCAGTATTTTGGCTGACTGGTGACAGTAAAAATTCCGCAATACAAACTACTTGTTTTACTTGGTCAATTTTTAAGATAATCATCTTTCAAATAACTCACCTATATTAAAGAACAATGCAGATAAACGACCCAATTGACTTCTTCTAAATCCAACTCCTTTTGTTAGATTATAAAATTCAAGAGCACAGAAATACTTTAGCAATCAACTGATAAGATATTGACGAGTTTTCATTTAAATACCGATATGATAATCAATCAATCAAATCATAAGGACCGGAGAAATATACTCAAGAGATTGAACTATGTTCATCCGGCCATCAAATTCATGTGTGTAGAAGAAAAGCCCTAATAAATGTTCTACTTACAAAATGATTGCATGGGTCACAAAAACGAGACCTAAACAAGAAAACCACTTAAACTCACCAGGATACAATTTTTCTAAGGAAGAGCATAATTAGGTCTGTTAACAGCTAGATTCTAGCTATCTTTATACAAATAGGCTATATAACCAACGTCGAGCAATCATTTTCAATGACAAAATGTGTTCACATCTGTTACTTCCTTTCACTAATCAAAACACACATGACCTTTTGGTAACTCATAGACAACAAGGACGGAAGATTTAACTACTCTATGCTCGACTGACGGACCAATACCAACTTTATCTGATTGAAGAGGTTGAACCAAGACCAATGATCACCAGTCCAGCATTGCCTATTATATTTCAGACATTCTATTATATACACACAAACCAGGCCACATCACACTAATAAATGGAAATTAACAACTGTACATAAACAAGCGGAAAAAGGATATGAATAGGAGAAGATATTAAATGATTAACTGTCATGGAAGCTATATAAATCTAGTAGTCTAATTACTTAATAAATATACAATCATCATTTACAATAAAACCTTAGAAAAATAGCTTCCATAGTTTGTTACCTCTTATTTAAATTGTTTCTCACAGCATCAGCAGTCTCCTGAAATCCGTTAAATAAGGAATATTTCAGATGGCTAAAGGATTAGTTGTTCGGATTAAAGGACCTGAGCTGATGATAGTGATGTAATAAATGTTCACTAAATCTCTCTCTCTCTCTCCGCATTCTCGTTGCTTAAACTAACAAGTCTTATCATCACTATTATTATTATTATTATTATTATTATTATTATTATTATGGATTAGTTATTATTAGCATTTTAATGCTTGCAATTTTTTGAGAAATTCATTCAACATCCAACCTTATTGACTAATTCCTATCTCATTTAGGTTATTCTAAATATTGCATGTTCGCTGATTTATACCAATTTCATGTTAACCATATTCATTCTGATCATTAATCTCACAATTTCATTTTACGTATGTATCATTTTAGTCAGGTGAATTATTAGTTTCAGTCATTTACGATTTATATGACAAACAACACCAAGTTCACTTGGCATAATTTTAGACTATTTATTTTGCCTTAAACTTGCCGCTTTCCAGACTATTAAGTCAGATATATAACTGTAAAACCTGAAGAGAATTTATTGAGTGGAATATTCTTCCTCCATATTTCTGTGCTTTTTATGATGGGAATTTTTTAAAGGATAATTTTAATAATTCTTAAGTTGCTTTTATTATAAATCAAGACATCGAAATATTGAATTTGAATTTACTTCTGTTAGGATATTCATCCAATATCCTAAGAGAATTACCGGTCCATTCCTATTTGTAAATGTCTACTGGTTAATTTTATGATCGTCCTAGATTGCAATGTCACCTACTCCAATGTTGTTTCTTATTGGTTGTCCTGAATTTCAATGAGACTTCAAATGATCTTTCCTATTGGTCATCTAAACTGTCAATGTCACAGACATGTATGAATAAGCATTATCTATAATGTTTTATAACCCGGACCCGGATCCTTAGTTCGAAGTTCCTACTCTCTTTTGGACCCGGACCACCTATTTTCTGAGTGCTTGTAGAATACAGGTTCTACTTTATATCAAGTCTTCTTATTCTTGTTTACTCATTGGGGGTTGGGACATTCGGATTAGAGTAGCACTTTGCATCACCAGATCCTCTATCCTCGCTCTTGTTTTCCGACTAAAGTGAATTCGTAATAGTTCAAGTATAACAAATGACGTGTTTACGTGCATGAGTAACTAGTTCATTGTTTTACGATAATCCATATTTAAATACATGCTTCCATGTAGTTTTGCACAACAACAAATAAAAACAAGCATGTTCATGTGTACATAAACATAGATGTAAAAACATCTGATATAGATAAACATACACAGGATGAAAACATATACAGGTGCAAAGTCATCTATGTTTTGTTTATCACCAATCATATTCCATTTGACTTGAATATGAACATCTGCACATCGTTACTTAGCTGAACTCATTTGACCAATACAATTGTGATAACTTATTCATAACTTACAGAGACGTTCGTTTGTGTCATATGACTTGAAAATGAAATTATGCAAAGTTTAAAAATGATGCAGAATAATTTATTAATAACTTTCTTCTAAATTTGAACCAATAGTTTTACAGTAGATGGCCTGGCAACTTCGGCTAGAGTGAGCCTAGTAAAGATAGTGAGATCAGTATCGATATCAAAGACTTGGAGAACTAAATATTTGGGGGATTTATTTACTGCTACAGGAAAAACAACAAACATAACAGTCAATACATCTGACCTCATCACATACACAATAGTTTGTCCTCACACTTATTATTTGTATAAAAACAATAGCTTTCTTTTGTTGCCAGTCATTTGTTTTATATGAATGTGTATGATGAACAGTCGGCTTAATCAAAAACAATAACACAAATTTCATTTCATTCCATTTCTTCATTTTGCGTATGATGTTGTAACATGTTGAATACATATCATTTAAGAAAACTATCTATTTTCATTAAAAATCGTTATTTTTCCTCGTATCAGATTTACTGACACATTTATATTTGTTATCTTTATACACTTTGGTATCAAGTCATTCACTTTCCACATTGTTGATGTGAATGAGTTAATGTGAGCTTACAAATAATCGATGAATCTTGTATTGTTGACATGCGATAATTTTGATATTGAATAATATTTCATTGGAAAAGTTTCGATTTAATGAGAGTTCAATTGCAATGATTTGAAAAATTGGAATTTTTTCTTCTTAATGAGTTACAGAACAATCTCAATTCGAGCTAATAAATTACCGGAAAAATGAAAAAATTTTCAAAGTTGAAACATAGTCTATTTCGATTCCTTAACTTTGTAAAGAATATCAGTGTTTAAAGTTATAATTTGATTGTCGATAGTAATTTTCTTAATTGTTAATTGGTTAAAGTTAACCAATTTAATTTTGGATGATGCTAGTTCATTCACTTTAGTTTTCCCTTCATAGAGAACAAATTAATAAAAGCTTCAGATCGTTTACTTATCATCTCATGAAATTGATTAGTTCATGATCAATGTAACTTTAATCAACCCGTTAAAAATAAAAAGCTTTTTACACTATTGGATCCTGATTTATCGATCTAGACGTTAAGCGTTTGTGCGTGAAACCGAAAGTCATAAGTTTCATTCTCATCTGGAAGGTGCATCTATGTTCTCAATAGTTTATAAACTCTGATTGCTTGTTGATTTCAATGAAAAGAATAAATATTGAACATACTTTTTCCTGGTAACTTTGAACAATACTTTGGAACAGAAGTCTTATTATTATCACTCCCTTCCATACTTTCATTCAAATTGATAATAACGCGTGGCCATACCAACATTGTATGTGTTCTATCTGTTTAAGCGAGAAAAAAACCAATACAAAATGTGATCAACGATAATTATACAAAACTTTAAAATAAAAGGCTTATAAGTTGTTGAATTGAACTAAAATAGTCATACACATTGTAGAACCCGGATAGTCATTGAGCTTCACAAACGAATTATGACTTAACGATAAATTTTAGAGACAATAATATGTTAATATGCTTAAAAAGTACATTAACTACCAAGAGTTAACACAACTACTGCTGAGATTGTGTCCGCCAAACTGAGTAGCTTTCATCGTCTACCATATATTAACAATATTTCATTCTTTATTGAAACGAAATATTTTACATAGTCCAGTTGAATGCAGACATTTATTTTCAACTGAAACGTTTCCATCAAGAAACTCAATCTCAGCTATATCACTATCTACAACGTAAAGAAGAAGACAGAGAGATCATCAGAACTATATATCTGGAAAGTACAGGCCAAATGAGTATATACAGGTTGATGATTGTGTATGTACCTTCGTCTATTTGTGGTTTAGACAAGAATGTATAGATTTTCTTTAGGACCAGTATGGATATCCTTGAATCAAGTGTTTTGCTATGGTATGTGAACTCAAGAATATGATATATCTATAATTGCCCTGACTACCAGTAAATAAGCTAAATTATTCATCAGTATAAGCTATTGTGTTTAATCACCGGTAGCAAACATAACCCATACTCAAGTTTTAGTGTTTATTAGTATATTTCAAGCTTTATCGATTATACTTATTTTTCAAATGACCGCTTGATATAATTCTTTGATTCCTTACAAATCTATTGGCAGTTAACTGTTTGAACTGCAGGTTTAATTCGTGACCGATTTACATCAGAGACAGGCTCCAGAATCGGTCATTTGTCGGGTTCTGAATGAGGTCTTTGTATTCACTTCTGAGACACAAGTTAAGATTAGACTTTTATTTAGTATTCTGGATTCCAAAAGTAACTATAATTAAATCACGGTCTCAGGAATATGGTATACAAATCAAATTATTCTGTTTTTAACTTCTTTAACTAGTCCAGTTGTTGCTACACCTTATAACTAATGAAAAGACGATACTATATGAGTAAGACAGTTGAGTTCAAGTAAAATGTACGACATTGACTTCATTTGATGAGAGTGAATCGATTAATAATATTTGAGTTAAACGCCTATTACTTAAGACTCATTTAATCCCAGACTGTTTACTACTCTGACGCCCTTTGCTTTGAATACTGTAGTGTACTCTTGTGTGTCGAATCTACATGGCTTGATTTAACCTTTCGACAAACGAATCAATCTATTCTTTTCAGGTCATTATTCATACGTCTTTTGACCTTAAGCTGTGTAACCTTGTTTGTTCTTATTTAACTGTGTGTGTATAGTCTACTTCGCTTACTACATGTTCAGCTTATTTTTATCTGAATATAAACACTTCGTCACACCTCACACATTGAGTTGGCCCATTTGCCCTCACTTCCTAACTTTTCTTCGCTTAGCTTTCAAGCTTAGCATTTTATTGTCTATCTGCTTACCGAATGTGTAAAATTAATTCACTCAAAATAAACTGTATCGGACTTCTAATAACCGACGTCGCACAAACGGGGTTTGCATGAGACTGATATACGGAAATCGAAGGGAAGATTTGTTTCATAGTATGCTTAATTGCTCGTATAAATTGGCGTCAAGTTTTGGACCACTTAACTACCAAACATTAAATTGTATCAGTGGTGTAATCATGATTTATTCTGTATTATTGATTGATTTTGTTGTGTCCCTGCTACTATTCGGTATGTGTATGTTGATTGTTCTCTGTGTAATTGACTATCGTTTTCTGGTTTTTACTAATAGTAATTATTTACATTTGGAAACAGATTATAATTATCAGCTGATTTGACTTTGGCTCTGCCAAGACTCTGAGCATGATAACATAGGAACTTATTCAAGAAATTCAACTGTGGGCATATTAGATTTACGCCGAGTAAACTAGGTATTTACACAGGAACTGCTGTCAGTTTAGCTTTTACTATTCACTTCATAGACAATATAAACTTACTTCCTTTTGGATAGTAAATACATTGATGTAATTCAGCATCAACATTGAAATTTTCTATTGCTTGACATGGTTGATAAACTGCAGGTAGCTTAAATGGAGCTTCTAGACTAATGGGCAATTTAATTGCTCCAATCGATTCTTCAGTACGACAGCACGTACTAACAAGACCTTGTACATTGAAACCAAGTCGATCTACACCACTTCTTGATGTAAATCCTAGATTTTTAAAGAATGAGAATTTTTAAAGAAGTCTTTTCATATGCACATATGATGAGCGATTATTAAATGGACATAGATTTTGTGTTAACTGTTTACCAATTTGAAAATATCCATTAACTATAAGAAGAATTCATGCATGACAAAGTTTCAATATGTCAAGTGTGTGATAATTATCGACAATATTAGTGAATGCTCACTAAATGACTGAGACCAGAAAAGTGAACCATATATTGTCGTTAAGTGAAATACAAACCCTTTGAAGCCTGATCTTCCTGAGTTCGAACTATAGAATATTTATTACATGGTAAATACTAATACTCGTCTAATACTAGAATAAAATATAGTTCCAATACGTCCTGTTTTAAAATACATTTGCAGCTAAAGTCAGTCAGTGAAATAGACAATTCATAAAATTCAAGCTTTTAATACAAATACAAACACATTTCGACAAATTGCAATAATGATCGAAGGATCAATGACAATCGATCTGTTTTCTAAGCTAAACATGATTTATACATCAGTTTAGATTTTAAAAATGTCAAGCTGAACTTCATGACCAAGACAAGGTGTTCAAAATTTACAGGTTGACCTTGGTTTGAATTGATGTTAACTTAGGAATGTAATTTGAATGGTGGTCTAATCTAATAAATATGTCACTTACACTGTACAGTACTTAAACTATAACAAAAAATCACAGCAATATTTACAATTTTATTTCTCTGCTAATTCAGTTATGTTCAGATATCAGCTGACCAAATGATTTAAATGAAATACCTGTTACATTTACTATGATAAAATTAGAGTAACATTTCTTTTCTGCGAAATTTGCTAAATCATGCTAAAATTTTCTCGCATCAACCTATTACCATTGTTTGTTGACACAAATCTCAACATATCCAGCAATTATTGCTAGAACTGAGTTTATGACTAGATATTGGCACAACACAATTTATCAAATCAGATATAAATAAAACTAAGGTTACCTGTAGGACATGTAGAGGATAGTTGTAAGAAACAATATTTCCCAGGTGGGAAATCTATGGTAGAATTTGCTTCAAATCCACAAGTAGCTCCACCGTAGCTCATAACTTCTCGATGTCCTAAACCATCGCAATCGTAACGAAGCGATTTAACGCCCAATTTAACTATGATATAAGTAGTCAGGAAAGAAAAAACTGATTATTATGTGATTCATTACTAAGAAAGAGATTCAGTTAGTCTAAATTTTATCCTCCATTATATGAAACAATCGAGAGAGTGTGTACAAGTTGAAGAGACAGTTTTAATTTCATTTATCAACCAGGCACATTTGAACGTGTCGTTGTACTATAGTATGATAGAGAAGCGAGATAAGTTAGCGTCAGTTCAATTAGGATTGGCGAGATGATATGCTCGAAACCATAACGAGTTCACGTAACTCGGTAAGCGGAACGTAGAGCAATGACTCAGTGATACGATAGGTTACTCTAATCCGTTGTCCCAGGCCCTGCTAGCTAGATCAAGACGTCTTGATAAGGCGTAGAGAACGTATTCTACAAGCACCCAGAAAATACAAAGTGTCTAAGTACACAAATTAAGCTTATTTATACAATGATAGAAACGCAATTGGGAGATCCACAAAATATCGTACGAAAATAATCCATCAACCAATAATAGTCAGCGATTTTCCGAGGGGCAAATGTTAGCTGAAGGTCAACTGGCGCGAAAACATGGAAATTCAAAATTTCTGAATAAAATTACAAAATTATGATCTTTCCAAGTGAGTTCTGGGGATCTTACGTCCCAACACTAGGACAAGATATTTATGATACCAAGTGGGTTTTTTTTAATGAAAATTCATATACACATTGATCATCAGCTGTTATGTAGTGCATGGAATTTCACTTCACTCCTTAATGCAGTATTTAGTATTGCGGCATATCTAATGATCTATTACATGATATTATTGGTGAGTATAAACATAACAGGTAGCTTGTATTCGCATGTCATGTAACGGCCATAGGGTAGAAGAAATATTATATACAGGATATTCTATTGGATATAGTCTATAATTCACTTTTCCAATACCCTTATCACTGATAGAATTAGGCTTAGAATCTGTATACACTTTACTCAGTTAGTTTTTGTACAGTAATACAAAAAGAGGAATTGTATGAACTACTGGTCTGGTATAGTTTCAATATTTTCCACGTTCTAATGCACTCATTTTCTGGAGGAGAATATCTACTTTTCAAGTGTCATCCTAATGTAAAGAATCTACTTGAAAGATATCTTCACATATTTTGAACAATTAATACTAAAGGGTAGCCTTAACACTGAGGACATTTGGGCTTTTTCAATGATTTAAACTGACTTCAGGGCTAGAAATTAAACTGACTTGGTGATCGATCTAGATATTTGTCGCCAGAAGTGAAATTTTCATTACTGAATGTGCTTATTTGATAATAAAATTAAATTCTTCTCTAAATCATATTTTTCACAATTTTAATTATCTTTGTAAGTAAAGCAGGAATCGACCTCTGAAGAGTTTCTTTATGCATGTTGTGAAAAGCGTTCCATATTAGCATGAAACATATTCAATGTTTCCTACATTTCAGTGACTGTTTAAATAAAATCACAGTCCATGGATGTGGTATTATTTCAAATTGAACATCTATATTAATCCATCATGTTTATAAATGAATTTCTACCTGTCGAATTTTTCTTTAAATGAAGGAGTATCCAAATTAATTACATACCAAATGTTGTTAATTTTAAAATACACGATTTCAGTTAAATCAACTTTCAATTCTCCATTGCCTACATTAGACCACACTGTGTTCCATTTAGTTTCATACTTTGTTAGAATTTATTAACAAGCTGGATAAATTTAATAACAATTATTATCTCTTAGTGATATCATATGTAGAATTTGTTTTAACGGAATTCGAGTTCAATTGGCCTAATTATTAGCACTAAACACAGGGATCAAGATCATTTGACTTCGTTTTACACACAATAAATAACTCAATTATTCCATCAATGGTCAAGAACCAAATATCATCAGAACATGAGTGTATTATTGCAAGTACAAAGTAGGCTGTTAGTAGAATCAAAGTGAAATAGATTTTCACAATGTAGAATAATCTCATATTTATTAAAACTGATCACGTCTGTTTTCACTCATTGACCAATCACAAGTCAGTTTGATGGGACTTTTCAAAACCATATAAACTCAGGCATCTTTGAACAGACCTTTTGTTTTCAAATCCATTCAGAAAGTCAGTACACTCACATTAGTGATTATTTTCAATAGTCTAATTCGTGGGTGAATATTACTGAGTAATCTCATACTGGAAAAAACAATTGTTTCATGTTGTCAAGTTTTAAAATTCAGGTTATAGGCCTTGGAGAACCAGAGTCCCCAGCGTGGCTGTAAATGAATCAGCAATACTGAAGAGTATCATACTTAGGTAAAAAGTGGTTGTCCAGATAAATTCAATTCATGGTGTCAAGTAATCACATTCACTGAAGCCAGAAACAAAATTTTAACAAAACCATGTTTTCTTGATGACTTACTTTCTTGATTTAGATACTGACAAATGATTACGCTTGGTATTCCATCTAATTTGACTGGATTATCTGGTCCGATTAATTCAATTTGATCGCCATATGGACGAGGTATCGGACGATTGTACTATAATGTGGAAAATTGCAAAAAATATATTGCTTTACTATGAATAGTACTTAGTGGATCTGGAGTCTTTTCAAGTTGATGAGTATTAAGGTTGATTTTAAAAGTTTGAGTGAATAACTCGCATAAAACTGTGTGAAAATATGCATAACTTTGTACTAATCACTGTGGATATATTCAGTACCCTAAGTGGTATTATAGGTGTCTGTAAATGACAATGACTACTTTTGCAGATGCGTTGAAAACAATGCCGGATCAACTCAGGCATGCCGTTTCTCAGCAATCCTATGAAATTTCTATCATTTAGTTATAACCAATTAAAATCAAAACCTTCAATTTTTCTTCTTGTAATGTAAGTATTTGCATACATTCTACATACTGAACAATGTACAATGTTGAACAATCATCCGAAGAATAGTCAACATATTGAGCTTACATCAATAGTAAATGACAAAGGATCAATTGTTTCAAGACCTATTAACTAATGAACTGAAGGAAACTGAGAAAAAAACTTTAGAATACATGTAATTAGCTTGAATTGTCAGTCTTATGCACTATAATAGATCTATTAATCTTTAATGAGTAGTCTATTCTAATGAGTTAAGTTAGTATGAAAAACTAGAATGAAATATTGATCACAAAACAATATTTTTTTTAATTTAGTTTTTTAGACAACTTAATCAATTGTGATTACAATAGATTCAAGCATTTACTTAACACAAGTTCAAATGCCTACGAATGCTTATGAGTTGTCATAATGATGATCCATGTTTAATATTATTGAGATAATCTGACTCAATTAGGTTTTTTATGATTGCGTTATGAACTGAGCTTAGTTGCCTTATCATTGAAAACCATTAGGCACTGGACAACTATTTTGTTTCAGTATATAAATCCTGAATATTGCACATTTACAACACAATCGAAAATCGAAATCAGGTCCTTGAGATCTGTGGACTAGCCTCTAACTATTAAACCATAGAACTGGCATCCTGTGGTTCACGTGTCTTCAACTCACATCACCTCATAATATTGTACAAATAACTTCCAACACCGCTGATGGTTAACGGCTGCCTACCTAACATGGTTGAGCTCTACTGGTCACAGAAGTTTCCTAGAAATCCTTGAATTATCTCTCAGACTCTAATTAATGAATAAATAATTGTAGTATTTAGTGAGCTTACTAATAATCCATTTTATTTCACTTACTTGTACTACTGTTAATTTAACATTGCCTGAATAGAATGTTGGACATATTGGACCATTTTGTAGTATAGCAAACGGTGATGTAATTCCTAGTGGTGCTTGATAGTTTGTTTTATCTAATGTAGTTTCATCTTCATAATCAGTAACATTTGTCGGTGAATGCACAGAACAACACAATTTTAAACGATAACCAACTTGTACAAAATTGATTTCATTTTTCCGCAAACCTATCAGAACAAACAATGATTAGATGGGTAGGTTGACTGAGGAAAATTAGCTACAGATAGTATGAACTATAGTTTGTAAATATAATAACTGGCTAAACTCCGAATCACCAATAGAAAGTAGCTCTGAAGCATATATATATATAAATTTAGTTGTCTAAACCCTTAAACTAATATGTCGCACTTCTGTTCTCAGTTATGTATTGTTCAGAAATCTGTACTCAGTTTCATCTTCAAATGATTAGTTGACAGATATAATACACGTTCATGATTACATATTAAATTAAGCCCAGCTGAACTAAATAGTGATTAGATTACAATTTACGAATATCACTTCTTTCATGAAACACATTGTTGAAGATAATATTCAAAAATACTATGCTATATAATTTATAAGGATCTGTACTTACGTATTCAGGACTATACTTTGTCAATTATCTGTTAGTATATATGAAAGCTGAGTGATTGTTTTCTCAGTGCCTACTGATTCTACTTCCGGCTTTTATGCACTGTGGTTTCTACAGGTATTCAGAATTAGCATTCCACTTTAAATAAGAATTGTCAGCTAGAACCACTCGGGTTATACTAAGACTCGAATCCGGAATGTGAATTTAACCACTGTAGAAAATTCAAAATATACACTGAAAATTGGATTTATAGACAGTGTAGAGGGATGCGCTAAAGATCTATGTATACTTACAAAGGTAAGTCAATAACAATAACAAAATGATACAATCCATTTAACAGATAAACATCCCACAAGTTTAATAATTTGGTAGCATGTATCTTTCATAACAGATAATAAAATAATATAACTGAATATTTCATAGTTACATACACACATCTGTTTTTACAAATACAAAATTATTTCTATCCATGGTATTACCTTGTGGACATTCATAATTGTAACGTTTATCCATGTCAGTATCTTGTAAGAAATTCGAATTTCCATTATCCAATGAATGATCAGTTACAAAACAGTAATTTCCAATGGGTAATTGATTTCTAATTGATGTAGCATCTAATTTCAAATGATTTGAAGCTGACCAGCATAAACTGATACTTGTTCCGAGAATGAATACAACACGTCGAGATATTTGTGTTTTGACAAAACCAACTGGACATGTTGGCTCAGTTACTAGAAAAGCTATTCGGCTGACTAAAAATGCAATAAATATTCATATCAATAAATGTTGACAGTGTGTACAGTGAAAGTTAATCTTGATTGGTTAGTGAGCAAAAGTAGATCTATCCAGTTATACTGAATATAGTAGAACATGTCTAATATGAAAAATTCATTCGACTTTTTTTTCCCCTTTGACTTCGATTATTTGTCAATAGAAACTTCTTACGATCTCTGAATAGTTCTTGACCGCTGATAGGATAATCGGATCAAAAGTATCGTATGATCAATGATTGTGGTCAACAGATCTACAACTCATCTATATTGATCTAGTTACTTAATATCTAGTGTTTAGTGTAGGATAGGATGCATAAAAACGAGTAATCTCAGACTATTTTTACACTGAAAAAAGTAGTTTTCATATCAAAAACTGTACTATTGTCATTAACATTAAGGTTTTCAGTAATTTAGTATCATACTAATTAATTCCTACTCTGTTGATTGTTTTTGAGGACAATGTGATGTGATTCGACCTGGATAATCGTTTACAGTATGATAATATATATATATATAACGTTTACTGTATACAGTCATTTTATATAAAATCATTCATAAATGACATATCAAATTAATAAATGAATTCAATGAATAAAAAAGAAGTAATGCAAAATGAGAATAAAAATAAAATTAGTGCCAATTAACTAATACGTACTTCGAGTTTCAGCTTCCGGCACATGTTCGGATTTCGCTTCTCGATATTCACAACTTATTTCAGGAAATAAATTCTGTAATACATCACTAAGTGTTTCATCAGGAAGAACGTTGCGAAACAAAGGTGCAACAAGTCGGTTTGTTCCTTTAACTGGTGGACATTGATAGATTGAAACAAATAACGGGGGATCTAAGATTGTAGACTGTGAAGTAGAAGTTTCTGGAGTGTACAGTGATATTACAGATGACAATGGCGAGGAGGAGGAAGAAGGAAATGAAGAATCAGAGTTTGTTATTTCTGACGCAATAGTATTATTTGAATAGCTTTCAGGAATAGAACGTTTCCATCTTGCTATCCACTTACGACGACGTAATGGAAAGAAATCACTGACCGTTATTCTTCGTCGTGGTTTTGAATAATACCAATCTTCATCTTCATTATTATGTGATGATGCTACAGTGGTGTCCATAGTACGTTGTTCTCGAACCTCTGTACCACCATTGTTGATGCTGGAACTAGTGCTGTAGTCTGCTTTATATTGTGAAACTTTTTCAATAGATATATGTGGAGTTTGCGTAGAATTTGTCCAAAATTCAGGTTGTACACAGCAAGTGATGATTTGTAAAATATTATCAAATGTTGGTCGCCATGCTGTTGGACCAGAAAGATGACCAATAAATTCCAAACTCGGTTGAAATCGTCGAGTGCGTATGAAACCTATTAAAAAAAAATAGTTGTTAACTATGGATTAAAAACTGATCGATCAGATTGAAATTAAGACTTCAGTTTTTAGAATTTTTAATTTAATCTATACATTGATCTGCATAGAAAAATGTATCGACGTTTTTGTAAAGCGTATGTTTCATTCATAATAATCAACGCCATGCTGTAAATTAGGACACAATTTCAAGTACACCAATAGACATCCAAACTTACACCTACAAAATTTGTTATCAAGTTGAAAAATCACTAGGACCAGATGATCATTGCATAAATTATTTGACCAGCATAAGTCTGGTACGAAATGCAATCCAATTAAATTTTCTTATTCAAAGAATCAGGATTTCACAAAAAATTACATTGACTAAAATGGTTAATAGTGTTATTAAATAAAATGTACTTTGTACTATTATCACACATCAAATGTTAATGAATCCATTTTAATAAAAGAAACCACTACATAGCTACTATCTTGCATACTCCATGAAGGAATGCGAAGCATGTTATTAATCGGTGAAGCATAGGTCTTTGCCAGTTAGCTCATATTAAAAGTCACCAGAGTGAAGTTATTTATTCTTAAAAGTCCAAAGACTATTGTTTTTCCAAAGTAAAATGATTTTTGTGATTATGCCGTACTCACTAATAAGAACAAAATTAATGTTGACCATGAGAATAATAAATAAAAGAAAATATCTCATGAAACCAAAGATAAACTCATCACAGCTTGAACATCAATAATCTATTTAGGCTTAACCGCTAGCGAAGACATCAATTATTGCTTTATCTGTATGGTTAAGTCAATTCAGACTAAATCTTATCGCATAGTATGCAATAAGCAATTAGCATCAATGATTTGTAGGTGATTTATACACTGTGTCATGTTTGTGGCAGCTACATTAGTGTTTCATTTGTTTAAGCTTGATAGTACAATTAGATCATGATAATTTTATATGATTTCCATTATTTTTCGGACAAACACTTTTAAAATAATTTTAATGTTGAAAAAGTTAAACAGATTTGAAAAGTTGAAACTGATACTGTATGATTATATAAAAAAAGTTTTATTTGAAAGTTTCAACTGGTAAAAACGATTCACTATATCTGGAACTCATGAAGTGATACTTTATGTGCATAATCGCTATAAATGCATGTCCTGGAATTTGACAGCCACTTTGGAATCAGGATTCCTAATCTTAATATTAGATATTGAATGTTCATTTCAGTTTTACTATACAGTAAAAACATCCTAAAGTGTTAGTAATGTCACAAAAACAAACCTTTATAGCAGACCTATTTACTCATATTCTGTCTAGTTCTCATCTCTATACTGGATTTTAACAGTAAACATATTGTAAAAACATAAAAATGAGAAATAAACGATACATCTCAAATAAGATAACTAGAGATAACTTAAACGTTTCTTCAAAAACCTTCACATTAGTTTATTCATAACCAACTTTTATATAATAAAATATGTTGAACATACTAATCATCTGATGAAGAATCTATGTGATAACCATTTTTTTAAAGCGATTTGATCTGTTTTCTGTTTATAGTTGGTTGAGATAAACATATTTTTCATAAGCACCAAGTCTTGTGAACTTTACGAGTAATAATAGTGTTTACAGTCAATCTACATTTGAATATGAAGATTGTACATGGAAATTAACTAGAATTCTCTTACCCGCTGGACAATAGATTGTTTTACCAACAAGAAATAAACAGAATTGTTTGAATTTATTATAATTCGAGTTACGATGCCGTTGATAAATAAATCCATGTGGAGCCACACAGTAATCAACTACGACAACAGCAGAAGACTCCAATTTAACAAATTGTTTTTGTGGAATAAAATTTGGCATACACTGACTACCATTAATAAATATTGGATAACCAAGTATGCCTGCATCAGCTACATTATAAAAATACAAAAACACATGTAAATCAGATTATTTAGTCAACATAAACATTTTCAATAATATTGTGTAACTACTTGTTAGTAGTATAAGAGAATGACGTTAATTGTGGACTGCTAAAAAATATCTCTACACAATTCGGAGTTGCTTTATATGAAATACGAACAAAACCATTTCTATAGTATGTTCACAATAACGATACATTTGTAAATAAAATTTTGGAATATTTATCACTGATCACAAAGAGCGTGAAATTTCAATACAGTAGGAAGCTATTTAGTTTGATATTTTAAGTGAAATATCATTTGGAAAACGGTTGTGTAGAAAAACGATCACCACGGATGAACACTTGATTTGATCTTATTCGAATTCATTGTCAATGATTATATTTTCTAAAGAAGCTTCAGTAAATTCAAAGCACATATCTGTCAATAACCCTCTTGGAAACAGGAAAAAATATACCAGTTACGTTTGTCAAGTAATCAGCACTGTTCGGATATGACATTATATTCCCAAACTGACTATGGAGACTTGGGTAGTATTATTGACATCGTATAATTTTAACTTATTGTCTACAGTAAATACCCATATCTTGAGGAGAATCAATGAGTTTATTTACTTTTTAAATCAATCAATCATTCTAATTGTGTGCAGACTAATGTGTGTGTGTGTGTGTGAATTGATTCAATTGGTGTTTCATTGAGAGTAATAATCTATTTTACTAATTTCAATCAACAAGTACTATTCAGTTGAAATGATAAAATATTAAAAATTGATCTGATTATATTTGGCAAGTTACCACCATCATTTATATGACAGATGTGAATTGTTTACAACAAATATAACTGTTTATAAATTATTGTTTATGGCTAAAGAATGTTATTGTATATGTAAAATTTCATAATAAAATTCACATAAATTCAAATAGGGCTCATTTATTGTAAAAATATGGTCAGTTGAGAGAATTGTCATCATTAATTTAATTTAAATAAAAGTCTTTATTTACGATGATAATTATTTTCATTTAAGTTACAGGTTCGAAATACTTTGCTTACTTGAGGTTTTTTTCAGTGAATACACCCTAAGTTTCTGTCACGACACCTTTTATGCTAGAAGGTTGGTAGTGAAATTTCTATAATTCAGTTACAATAGTGTTGGCTGATTGAGCAGCGCTAACACAGAAATTAAAATTTATGATAGATTTTATTAATCACTGAACAGTCTGTGTTAACAAAGTTAAGTGGTTAGAGAAATCCGGTAGGAAATTCTGTTGCTTGACACTTTAGCAAGGTGTACTAATAATTCCTAATCGGTTTGAAATCGCATCACCTAGATTCATAGTCCGAACCCCTGACGGTGTGGTAAATTTGTGTAATGTTTAAATCAATCAACTACTGAGCATTAATCAATCTCGTATTTGTTTTGCCTTTGGTACTGATTGAATTCTGTCAGTTCATGGTCCGAATCTCATTGGGTCTATCAATTTTCGCAAGAATTCAGGTAGGTTGTATTGACGAGCACTAATTTCCACATAGGTCAGGGATTTTTAACCAACGTCTTGCAACCATTTGAGCACCAAAAATATAGTGCATGAGCTGCTTCAGCTTGATCAATATGACTTCGTTTAGTAATGCGAGGACCAAACTAATATGACATTTTGTTTACCACAAAGTAATTATTGAATGTAATTATTTTAAAGACAAAGAAAATAAAAGCTGTTAGTCAACTTTGTGACCATTCAGATCTTGATAACACAATAACAACCCGGTTTATTCAACAGATTTATTGATCTCCTTGCTAATAAAAGCAATGCTTATTTTAAAGAGTCCGTTGATTACAATTCATGTGTGAAAAAAAAGAAACGACTTACAACATTTTGGTATGTCACAATATTGTATTCCGGAAGATACACCACGAACTTTAACTGGATAGCACCATGGTTGTGATTTTACACCACCTGGATTTCGACATGAACGAAAATTTTCAAGTTCAGAATCGGAGATACTCAATAGTTTACTAGTTGTCTCATTATATTGTAGACGATAACGGAAAAATGTGCCAACATCTTTACGTGAATTACTAACCCGCCATTTTGAACAAGGCTGAGATAAGTAACATACAAAGTATACATATTTAAAGTTGAATGATCATAACAGACGAATTCAAGTCTTGTTTGTGAGATAAAAACTTGGATTAAACTTTTTACATAACGTAGAGTCTGCGTACACGAAAGACTATTGACCGAATTCCACTAGTCATGATCCCTTAAATAGAACTCTTCTAACGGGATAACGGGACTATTATTAGCAGCTTTATGGAGAATGTTTAGATTTTCGTACTTTACATTATGGATTAAACTTAGTAAGACCGCTAGAGACATTTCATTACATATATTATACTGCACTTTAAACACTGTCAAATTAAAATATATGAGCCTCAAATAAATTTTCACATGAAAATTCGATTGATTGGAGACGAACACTGTAGACGTAAGTAACGTGTAGTTTGAATGAATTCCGTATCATTTTAAGTTCACTCCAAGAATACACTACCATTTAACGACTCCGTAGAGTCTAGTTATTGAACTAGTAAATGATAAGCAAACTTTTTTTCAATGCTTACTTTAAAAACTAGACATTAAGTTAAATTTTATTGAACCTAAAGATTTTCGACTGAAGTTGTACGTTAGTATAGTAAATCATTAACTGGAATATAATATCTGGTGGTACCTCATTCATTTTGAATGCGAATCCAATGTTTGTAATTCATTTCATGTACTGACTTTGGTTAGGTGACCATTGGAATTTAGAAAGCGCCTGAATTCTATTTTGTGTCATGAAAATCCTCATCAGTGCACAGTCATCTCAACAGCCCTTTCACTCTGACAAAAATTGTGTGCCATGTGGTAAGTAACTTTGGGACATAACTATCGAAGTTCTAGTGAAAAACTATGACCAACAGAAAGTGAAATAATTAATACAAGTAAAAATAAATAAATTGAAGTGGAATATCGTAAACTAACACCGACATCCAAAATGTAATGCCAACTTACTGTTCTAAAGAATAAACTGTAGCCATTAGCCCTCATGCCCTGAGCAGATATTCAAAGTTCACTTTTCGTAAACAATTAAAATTAGAAAATGTGGAAATCTTCAAAAACCGCCTATGCTAACGATTACTGCGTACTTACTAGTGACTAAATTCTAGATTCAATTCCTAGAGTTCTAGACTGAGAATATGACTAGTCTAGTTTAACTATGTCGGGTATGAAGCAGATATGCATCACAGGGAACGCGGATAGATCACGCAATATCACTAATTGACTGAAGCTACATGTACACATCGTCTAACGCCAGTTCTGAGGTCAAGGGATTAATCACTTATCGAAACAGCACCTCAGGTTTTCTATGTAATTTTATCCAATATGAACCTGTGTTGTAAATGATTACAATTTGTTGAAAAAATTTGATGATTATTGATTAAATTATTTTGTATCAAAAACATGCCTTTCAGATTGTAGTTTGAAATAGTGTTTAAACGATGCATGATTTTGTTGTAGATTTCATATTTTTATTAAGTATGTATTACAAGACAAAATATGATGGTCTAAAAATCTTCGATTATCACGATCAAGATTGTCAGAGCATACTTAACTCCTCATCGACGAAGCTTATATAACTGACAGAATACATAGACTTTATAATTAGTCATATTATTGAAACCACGAACTGATCATTGTTAAACCACCTTTGGAAATGTGGAAGCACTGGACAGCTGTTTCGTCCTAATGGGACTCACGAGCAGTGCACATTCCTGCTGCGCGCAGCAATCGAACCCGAGACCTTAGGTCTTGCGCGCGAATGCCCGACTTCTGGACCACTGAGCTGCTATCCGACAGTATTAATGTCTAACTCTGATCAATCCAAGGTTTTCACGCAACCTCACTCATTGTCTTCGGTAGTTACTGCCAATACCTGACAGGGATGAACTCCACTTGTCACGTCTTCTTACTAGAACTCCCAGAAATTCCTCACTATTTTAGTTACTAGTGAGCACATTGTACGATTTTTTATTATAAAGTTATGGTCTTACAATGATTGATTCCTGTTTTCAACATTAAACAACAATCTTCATAACTTTGATGAAAAATTAGTCATATGGCTAGTTGATATATCATTGATTAGTTGTTAGTGGATTTGAGATGTCTGTCTTAATATGATCATGAGGCAGTGTATTTGTGTCAATTGCTTGTAATATTACTCAAATCAACTGGGAGAATCAAAACCGACTAATTGCATTTTGCACTAAAAGATTTGAACTCTTAACTGACTAAAACTTTAACTTCAGACCACCTATTAATACCTATTGATAACAAAAAATTGACTTTACCACTATAAAATCTTAAGTAACCATTGTTGTTATCTTTAGGTAACCAACAAATATCATGTAAAATATAATTTTTAACTTACCTGTCCATCAGATGTTTGATCCTGATTTCCACTATAATCTGCTCCATTGCCTTCATAACAGCCAATATGTTCAGCTGAAGTGGGATGTGGGGAAAATCATCAAAACTAACTTGTAAGTTGATTTACGTCATTCAAAACGTCCACTTTATATTTAATAATTATATTTACAGATAGAAATATTGAGTATTATCAATGAGTTTGTTTGTCACTTGATGTGACCTTATCTTAACAAATATTATGAACAATAATTTAGTGAGAATTTATAAATGGAAAAAAAATACTTCACAATACTACTATTTAGAATGAATATTTCAGCCTAGGAAATATATTTCAGACATTAAATGAATGTGATTCATAATTTTCTATCTATCAGATTCAAATGGTCTATCAATAGAACACCCATATTGAACAGGCAGATCAACTACAGTAGCATAGATGACAAATTAGTCTGATCATTTTCGCTTGATTTTTTCATGTGGTTTTTACTGATCTAAATGGTTTAACTGCAAAACCTTCAATGTGATTCGACTAAATTCGATCAGAGCCAACTTATTTACTCACCTGCTGAATCTTAGAAAACTGTTTTGAAGGCAACATAGAAGAGTATAGTAGTAAACCCCTGTGTTTCTTTGGATAAAATACTCAATATATCAGCTGAGACACAAATATCACGCTCAAATATAACGCTCAAGTTCAAAATTATTATAAGAGACGCTAAATGATGTATTGTATAACATCCTAACAACTAGCCGATAAGAATATAAACAAAACCGTATACCTGAAGTTTGTTCAGAAGATAAATGAAAGCTCCGCTACCAAAATCATTCAGCTCAGACAACGAAACTGCGCCACATAATGAATTTTGTCATTTATGTCAAGTAAATGACAATTATCAGTAAAGACGTTTGTAAGAAATTTTAGGTTTTTACTCTCCATTTTGCCGATTAATTTCAGTGCGATATCTGTTGTAAACAAGGAGGTACAATGGAGCTGTTTTGTTCTTGTATGGGACTCTTCGGAAGTTTGAATCCACTTAATCAGTATAAATCAGCGAACACCAGGTTAGTGATCATGGAGATAAGCACTTTTGTGAAAATTGAAGTTCCTCGGTTTGATCCTGAATAAGTTCTTGAATGAATACTGTTGATGATTTTCATACTGAGATGAAATAACAGTTCAGTGCTTCCTGGTTCTTAATGATTGTTTAACTAAAGTCATTCAGTGATTTCGGCAATAAAACGAACTTATTTGATGGTATAAATCTACTTTATATCTTCTAGTTATATCTGACAGTTAATCAAATAACTATCCAACTATTTAGACTCATTAATAGTAACTAAGTAAAAGTATGAACATACCTAACGTTTTGTATTATCTCTAATTCATCACAATATTAATTATCATTAGACAGATATATTACATTTCACTCAAAATAACTTAGGGCCGATAGACATGTCAAAAAATGACTTGTCAATAAACTTTTATTCAACAAAAAAGTCTAATGGAGATCAGACTAAAATATAACTATAGTCGATTATTTCAATGACTCTTAGTTAGCTGCTCAAACCTACTGGTTGTTAACTGCTAGATAGTTAAGGCGAACTAAGTAAGAATTTTGTTTTTACAACTTAAATTAATTAATTTTCAAATACTTTAATATTTTGTCTAAATCTTACTCGATATTTTTTCATTTAGAGATGTGGAGATTAGTGTTGTTTCTCATAGAAATCATCAGTAAACCATTATTAGACCACCACTAGAAACCTGGAAGCACTGAGCGGCCTTTTCGTCCTAGCATGGGACTCGTCAGCAGTGTGCATCCACGACTCCTACACCTCGCAGGATTCGAACCCAGTACCTTCGGTCTTGCGTGCGAACTGCTAACCTTTCTACCACTGGGCCGGTATCTAACTATATTAATGTCTAACTCTGATCAATCTAAAGATTGTGTGCGACCTCACCCATTTGTTTTCGGTGGTTACTGCCTACACTCGACAGGGTTGAAGTCCACTGTTCACGTCTTCTCACTAGAATTATGAGACTTTCTTCACGACTCTAATCACTAAAGAGAAGATTTTACGATTTCTTCCAGAGTTATGGAGATCAGTATTTTTGAACACTGAAATCATGAATCAGTTATACCACCAATAGAAACCTGAAAGCACTCGTCCTAGGTTGGAATACTGTGAAGTACAGGAGTCGTGGATGCGCACTGCTGATGAGTTCCATACCAGGACGAAACGGCCGTTCAGTGCTTCCAGGTTTCTAGTGATGGTGTAACGATGACTACTTGATACTGTCAAACTGTATATTCTGAGTAATCGAATTCCAGATTAACTAGCAATACAGAATACTTAAATAATTCCATCTATATAATATAGTTTTGAAATTATTTCTTCTTTTAGAGAAATCACTTATTAAATATCATTAGGATGAGGATTGTAGAGATTGTTGAATTTTACTGAGATCATAAAGTGATCTAAGTAAGATAATCACTGAAAACCTGCAAGAGTCCATAGAGGTTTGTTTGCTGCAACGAAATAACTATCCAATGCTTCCAATGTTTCAGTTGTTGTCTAACTCCTATCCACATTGAATATTTTTCCAAGTTAAACACAAAATTCTATTTACATTTTGAACATAATTTAAACAAGTTTTAGCTAATAACCGTAATTGATCACTATATATAATTTATAATACTTACTTTATCTAGCGCAAACTTCTCTTAAAACAATAAAAATAAATCAGTCTCATAGCGTGTTAATAGAACTTTTACCGCTCTATTTGCTTTACAGCAGAATACTGAATAAGTTTCAGTTTAATTGATAAATTGTCTGTGAAAGTCATGATGTACAATTGAATAGAGCTTCGGTGATTTTACTTTTTTATCGGAATATTATTTTTAATGAAATTAACATTAACATTGAGAATGGAACATTTTAACAATTGAACAGATTAGTTATGCATTTTGTTCATTAGGATATTATTGATAATAATATTAGTAGTGACTTTATTCATTCAGTAACAAATTAGATTGAATACTAACAGTTTTATCTATGCTTAAATTATTCACCAAGCAAATGAAATTCAATTTACTAAGTAATGTACATTGTGTATTAAAAGCGGTTGGTCATTGGTTAAGGCATTCAGTGTTCAACTACTAAAAAGTAGATTTTAAAAACACTCTCTACTAACGGTCACACTTATTACGTTGCTCTAAACCAAGCATAACTAATTTCTACCGCACAAGTGATGAGTTGAAAGGACAATCAATGGAGTATTGGACTATTATTTTTAACCTAATGTTCTGATGATACAAATGCTTATCTATTGTTTTTGTATCCTTTCTTGAGTTGAATCGTTTTTCATTTACTCATGATTTATCATGTACAAGAATTGAATTCTGACTAGTTTGAAAGAAGATACAAGGACGTTCAATACTAAAGGACTGGAAAAACATGAAGCATCACTATTTAACTGTCGATTGGTCATAAATATCTGAGTGTTACAGGAAAATCTTGACTCTAATGGCTCACTGGTAACCTGTCGTATTGAGGTGTGTAATGTTAGTTCAGATCCCACAGACGGTATCATTTACCTCTGGATCTCGTGTTTACCTTTCGTGAAAACTAGCACGAAATCTAGATTAAATAAAGTATTATGCCGATTGCTTACAACCTCTTTACTTCATGTCCATGAATTTCATTAATCTGGTGGATAACTCTATTCATCTGAAATGAAATAATTTCAAGTAACTCATTCAATTGTTATTCCAAAATACAATACATCTTCAAGTTGTTAAAATACGTTTTCCTAAACTATAAAAGAATTATATGATCAGTATGAAGTAAACTGAATATATGGTTTCAAATCAGTGTTAATGGGGTTAGTTAACCATCTCTATTCCAATTGATATATATTGTGTGGATTAGAATCTGGAGATTTAAACTCTTATTGACCGACTGGTTTATATTCCAGTTTCTCCTTAAATAGATATTTCGGCTTGAGACGTATCAGTAATCTGAATAGGGAAAAATCTTAGAATGTCGGAAAAATGTTTAGAAGCCTGGCTTTCAGACCGATTAGCGGACAGTAGATATGTCCATATAGTCCCAATCTATGAACAGATACTTTAATGATTTATCAGTCACAATACTAAGGGATAGCTGGCAATAACATTTAACAAGAATGCCCAATGAATGAACCTAACAAAGTCTATAACGACGGCCAATCACATTGCCATAAAATTGAAGTGCTAAATTGCTTGTAGAATAACTGGAAAGTTCATTGTTGTTTGTTATGCAGAATGAGGAAATCTAGACTCTGTAATCAGATTGTTTAGCTCAAAGAAACTATTGCCAAAATTCAAGTTTCATGCAGTCAGTTGTAAATTATAAATATATATATATATATAAGTTTATGTGTTAAACGTGAACACCTGAACTGAGTAGTTCATGAGTAGTTCAACAAATAAGTCCCTGTATTTACGTCTGCATTGACGTACGTAAGTATAGTTCAACGTATATAGCTAAGTGGAGATATCGTTTTAAGGCAACCCTCAGAGGAAGGTATTTGTCAACATAAATGTCAATGCAGAAATTTTTCATACAAAAATATGACAAAATTACTAACCACATCTTGGTACATCACAGTACTTAAATCTTCCTATACCAACGACACACCATGGGCCAGATGAATCATTTCCTGGATTACGACAAAAATTTTTATGTTTTCTTGCTTCATCATCAGACCAATATGGTTTATAAAATGATTTATGATCCAACCAATCTAAACATTCTGTTCCATCAAAAGCTTTATTCACTTTGCCACGATAATTCCCAGAACGACATTTCATTGGATCATATATATTAAGCTCATTTAATTCTGTCCGATCAATTGTTTGAATGAATTCAATGCATAAAAAGCAGTAGAGAATATTAAACAATGAATAAAACCGATTATAATCATAATGATCAGTCATATTCCCAAGAAAACTAGAGGGAATTACTGGTGTGTTTGTTTGTTTAAAGGAACGGTGATTAATTCCTCGTGTTTATTAAATGTTATATATATATATATATATATATATATATATATATATATATATATATATATATATATATATATATATATTGATATGCAGCCACATACAAATATTTATGTGCACTTACCATCGAGACGATAAGTACCTGGCGAATTCACCGAGTTCGGAATGTATACACCAACACAGGAGCACACACATTTGCAAAAATACACAAATTAATTCAGGCGTTGTGTTTATTTCTCAGGATTAATTACAGTTTCAAGTTAATAATCGAATTTTTCAAATAGTACTTCCGGTTATAATTTGAAATTGTAGAGTACAGATATGTATTCGCATAAACAATACTGAAGTTTCTAAACACAGTTAAAAGTGATAATGCATTATATATATATATATATATATATATATATATATATTTATATATACATATATATATATATATATATATGAAGTGAATAATGGATACATGATTACAATTCATTAGTTATCACTACTGTTACTACATTGATTACTACCATAAATGACAGTATGCGTACAATCTGCATTTCGGTGTAAATTTTTTTTTATCAAAATGGATACACTACCAATAAATTAAATATTTATTATTTGAAATGATTTTCTAAAATCATTGGTATATATATATGTATATTGCTGTAGTCTTATGTCTATTATATATATATATATATATAACTTTTTACTGCTTATTATTGTTGATTGTAAGTGAAATAATTATTGTTGATATTATTATTATCACTATAAATAAATAATATCATTAGTTTCTTTTATATACAGAAAAAATAATAATTTCCTCAAAATTATAAAATGTTTCTGCGTACGCCTAAATATATAAAATTTTGAGCAACGTTTTTTATTTGAATGTACGTAAATAATCTCATTTACAGGCAAACAAGTATATATATATATAGCTGTTTTATCTGTTCAGCTTTCTTTAAAATAATTCGTTTCGCTAAATTTCCTTACTATTTATAAAATTATTCAATCCTCTTCATATCATATATATATATACCTTTGTGTAATTTTTAAATACAATCATCATTATTTACCATATGCCTCCTTGGAGTACATAAGGACAACCAGAGGCTGCTGGTGGAACCAAGCGATCAGAAGAATGTTTATCAACGTCTTGTAAGTTGGATTCGAAATTCCCTCTGGTCACTTCGTATAGTCATCACCACTGTACTAGGTAGGGAATCAGGCAAAAGTGATAAATAAATCCCCGAAGTAAATAGGTCAGTTAGTCTCCAACATTGATGCTCACCAAATTAGTTTTACTCGAAACATTCAACTGAAGGCACCTGGTCATGCACAGACACAAAACCACCTTTGAATGCGTCGTGCATTGCACCTCCTCACATCAAATAGCGAGCTTTGTTCACTTACATCTCAGCATCCTCACCATTATTAAAATATATCTTCGATTCTCTCCATTTCTGACTTCTGGCTTGACTTGGCTTTGGGTATTCTTGATCTGAAACGCGATTTGGAAAAAAGCGTCGTCTAACTCTGAATATCCATGACATTCTCAACGGTGGGACCGATGTGATCTGGTAAACTCAACGAAATCTAGTGGACCTTTCCCTCGCCTTAAGGTTATGAATATTCATATATTCCAATACATCGTGAAACTATTTTTGCTTTCGCATTTTTGCACGTAGGAGAGCACACAGACTCGTTCGAGGTGTAGACCAGTGTCAAGCAAGTTTGCTAATTATCACGCTTTCTCTTTCTCCTGGTGACCAACCGAATTATGGAGACGTCAACATCTGAGGTGAAGCACGGGACACATTGGACAGTCATGATGCAGCTGGACGATATGAACTTCGCAGATGACCTGGCTCTTCTATCGCACACGCAACAATAAACGCAAGAGAAGACGACCAGTGTTGCAGCAGCCTCAGCAGCAGCAGCAGATCTCAACAACATAAAGGGTAAAGAGAGATTCTACAATACAACACAACATGCGCCAACCAAATTACTCTTGATGGAGATGCCTTGGAGCACCTTAAAGCCTTTACATATCTTGACAGCATCAGTGATAAGCACGTTGGATCTGACGTAGATGTGAAGGAGCGAATCGGCAAAGCAAAGGCAACATTTCTACAATTGAACAATATCTGGAACTCAAAACAACTATCAATCAACACCAAAGTCAGAATTTTCAATACAAATATCAAGACAGTTCTACTGTATGGAGCGGAAACTTGAAGAACTAACGAAGCCATTATCCGAAAGATAAAAGTATTCATTAACAATTGTCTACGCAAAATACTTTGTATTCTTTTGCCAGACACAATCAGCAACAAACTACTGTGGGAGAGAACAAACCAGATTTCAGAAGAGGAGGAAGTCAGGAAGAAGCAGTAGAAGTGGATAGGATAGACATTGTAGAAAGCACTCAAATGCGTCACAAAATAAGCCCTCGCTTGTAACTCTCAAAGTCGAAGGAGGAGAGGAAGGCCAAGGAACACATTATGCCGAGAAGTGAAGACAGACATGAGAAGAATGGACAAATATGGACGGAGTTGGAAAGGGAGGCTGAGGACAGAATAGGTTGCAGAATACTTGTCGGTTGCATTTTCTCCGTTGGGGGTAAGAGGCGTAAGTATGTTGGTGAGTAGATAAGTAAGTATTTTTTCCTCTGATATTTATGTAATTTTTTATTCTTTTTACGTCGAAACCTACACATAAGTTTCCTTAGATTAAGACTTCTGCGCTATTTTGATCTGATAATATAGGAGCTTGGTTCTGCCATGCAGGGATTAACTTCCACAAACATAATGTGCGCAATTCCTAACCGCAATAATGACATGATCATACGAGCTGGATAGGCACTTTGTACCTAATATGTTTACTTGTGATATTTCAAATCCTCAGTTTCACTTTTTTGTTTGCTTTTGTGTAATTAACTTGTGTCTTGGCTTATGTTATGTTATTAATTGCTTTCCAGCTGTTTTTTCTTTCTTGTATCTTATCGATATATCTACAGAAATACATTCTTCGTGATGGTGATTCTTATGGCCCCTTCTCAGGTGTTCTCCATGGTAGTTTCCTCTTCATTGAATCGATCGTGAATAACCTGTAGCTTATTGTTGAGAGCTATCTCAGATTTATTGAGTTTGTCAGTATCATGAAGAAAAGCCGTAATAAAATTTCGTAATTCTGTTTCTCCAGCCGTCTAGTGATTCTTGAGCTTTAATTTCATCTTGTCAACTATAAGGTGGTGATCTGAAGCTGTCAGTTCCTCTCTTCGTTCTTAAGTCCCTCGAAGTCGTTTTGAACTTTTATCGGTGCAGATGTGATCGATTCGGTTTACTGTAGTTTGATCTGCGGAAACCTACGTCGCACTGTGTATGCGTTTGTGTGGGAATATGTTTCCGCCTATAACTAATTTTTGACGACACCACATACTCTTAGTAGGACTAAAAGTAAAACATAATGTCATCAGTATGTTTCTCTTTAAAAGAGTTTTCAGAATTCTTTAAAATAATTTAAATGCCCACTGCTAGTGAGCATACATATGCGTGTAGTGACTACAAAGTCAATTTGCTGCATACCAATATACTGTACTTAATGAGTGATTTATGTTGTGCAGGATACACAGAAGTGACTGAATACCTAATAAAGTATCTTTTTTCACTACGTTAAGGTCAAAAAGACGTGAACAAACCGAACACAGAGTACTGAAGATAAGAACTAAGGCCATCTTCCTGAGATACGAATTGTTGTTGATATCAAACGCCTAAACCTGTTTGAGTTGACTTTACATCTACTCATTTGGAGATGACTGAATGCAAATTAACCTGAGAGATCGGTATTAACGTAATGTAGAATCCATTTTGAAGGCTTCGTTTTTGGGAAGATCCCTCCATGTATATATTTGTGTTATGGATATTGCTGATTCTGCCTGTTCAGCATTTTGGTACTCTGTTTAGTCCCAATTTGGGATGCTATTATTTGCATTTTGTTAGAATTCTTATTTTCTGTACTTTTATAGGAGTTTATATGTTTCCTTTTAAACTGTAAATGAGTTATTTAAATTGATACTTAATATGGCTACAGCCATATCGGATTTCATACCTCTGCGGTAACATTGTATTCTTGACTGGAAGGACGCATTCTTCCAGAATTTGAAACTCATTGTGTTAATTTCGGATCGGAACAGTATAATATTGTTTAGAACCGTTCCTATCCGGAAAACCTTTGTTTTGAAATTGGACCGGGCAAAGCGCGTAACTGACCTTTACTGTTTCTGAAATCAAGGTTCAATGAAGTGAAAATTTTCTATACGTAAGTCAATAGGATTCTGTCTTTAGAATGAAAAAACCAGAAGTATTTCTAAGTTTTGGCTCTTCATGTCATTAAGTCTGCAATACCTTTACAAAAGTATTTATTTTTTGATGAAATCTGATGTGATTTCCTAACTGTTAACTAACAGCAAGAAACAACCCAGATTTCAATACTACATTACGATATTTAAACAGTACCAACGATGTAACCTTTGATTTTATTCGTTGGCAGGCATTCGAAGTAATAAATAAGACAAACGTTATCATTACCTAGTTGTAGCCACTGTGCGGTACATCTAACAGTCACAACCAACTGCTCCCTTCCTAATTAATTCAGTAGTAACACATACATTCATTGACTTGCAAAAACATAACTTGAGAAAAAAGGAAACGGCAACGCCACAGCTCCAAAAACTCAACAAATCATGGATGAGGACAATAGGTGTACTTCAGTAACTTTATTTGATGTTTCACTTTCCGAAGGAAGCTCCCTTGAAAGTAGGGCTGACTGTGGTGGAGTACTCTGGGGTGGATATTGCTTAATGCTTAAAATGAGCAGTATTCGGTCCAAAGTGTATTGTCTTTTCAAGGGTCAAAACAGAGATAAAGGTAAACCCCCTCCATTCTAGGTAACTTTAGAATGGGAACAGAAACTAGGAACAACTCAAAGACCTTCAACTACACTTTCTGCCATAATCTGAGTCAGGCACGACAAACCATGGTCAGTACGGGCAGCTACTAAAACATCATTAGACATCCGAGAAATAAACAGTATGGTGGTTCAATGACTGCCTGAACTGGACAGTGGGGGCTTGAATGAAACTGAATTACGTGACACGCAACAATGGCGATGGCTATCATGTAGCATAGGCCGTTACACCAGTCTGGCAATTAGCGTCTACCAAATGCCTCTTCCGTCACACTTCACGACTATCAAGTCTCCGCATTCGATGTCTTTGAATTTCAGAAACCAGGAAAGCTTAATTGATACGCTTCAGGCCTGATACAGAGCCAAGAGTTATCACCCTAGTCACAATTGATGTTGTAAGAACTGACCAAGACTAGTGAGAAAACAACATGGAAGCCAAATGTTGGTTGACCCCGTTCTACAACTACGGCACAAGACATGAAGATCATGGTCTCACTGATTGAATACGCCATATAAACTCTGTGTATAAACCTGAGGTTTCCACAGAATTTGATTACTAGGTTTCACCCACTTTTTTCCTAAGCCGAGAATGGATGTCGATTCAGATGTGCGTCAGGTGATGGGACAAATCATCAAGTACCTCTGCTGCAACGTTAAAGAACTGTGGGTTATGCTAGGTCGAAATTCATGCTCTCAAATGGATTTGAAGAGCATAATCGTGAGTGAATATGACTATCACCGAACACTGCAGACGAACAAGTTAGCTTGCAAGGTGTCACATACTCCCGATGCGATAGGGTAGATAACGGGGAGCAGTGTGCTGATATTTAATAACTGCCTTTTTAAGCTGCAACACCACACAGCACCCATCTAACCGGTGACAGAATTACCCTGGTGCCATTGCAACACGAATGGTGCAAATTATTTGGTTGCAGAGGTTTACCGGCTAACCTCGAGTGACAAAGCCCAGAAAGATAAGTCGACTGAGGAAATAATGTTTAGTGGTGACCAAGTCCAGAGTGATCGTCATCGAAAAGATAAATAAATCCAGGATAAAGAATATATTTGCTGATGATCTCGCGGTATCGAAAGAACATCGAAATTACACCAGGAAAGTGAGTGAAATAAGAAGCAGCTACAGCAAAGGATGACAGCAACCCAAACAAAAAGTTGCTCGTAACAAGTGTTATAAACAAAAAGTACGGTTAAACGGTTGCTTGTAGAAACGGTTGTATTAATGAATGTTTTTGTTGAACCAATCGCTTTCTCTCCATAAAATTGTTCCATTGCAACTAGAGCTACCACATCTGAAATTTAAAATCTACCTATAGTTGAATACTTCAATACTCAATCTCTAAATCTCAGGAAGTAGGGTATAACCCCACAAGGCGACTAGCTACAGCCATTAGAAGTTCGGGACTGGTTGACCATGCGTGTGCGCCACTATGTGGATGTCCGAGTCCATACACTAGAAGTAAGCACTAACTATGGCACATTCCTGTTTTACATGGGCTCAAACGAAGAACTCAGGATGCATGAAAACGAGCCTTACTATTGCTCAAAATAAGAGGGATTACATGAGCCTGCTGAAGCGCCTTCTTCGCGCCCCACGTCCACGAGAACGGTGGAGGTTAGCAGTAGAGAACCACTAGTAAATAATGTGAAACATAATTCAGATTGCTTTTCAGGGGAAAAGAGGGGCTCAGCACTAATAGAAAGCGTCTCTGGAGGAGTTGTTACTTGATATTAAGAAAGAAATGCAATCACGAATTTCGAAGCGATAGGAGAAATTTCCAGACATGACTAGATGTCCTAATACAAGCTAACTCAAAATATCTCTTCAGTTCTGTGATTAAATGAAAACCTACAACTCATATTCGTGCTCCAAAAAGTCCGGAAGAAGAGAGAGCAACATTCATTATGATCACCAAATATACCACTGACCTTTAACTGCAATTTTTTTATGGCAGTCTTTACGCGTAAACTTCCGTTGTCATTTTAGCTCCACCGTTTCTGTTATTTTGCCCCTCTTTTCTGGCACGATTTCGGTATTCTTTTGACACCACGAAATCGCTAGTAAATATATTCTTTCATATGGACTTATTTATGTCCTCGGTGACTGGCTCGTAATTGCTATAGTGGTGATCATAGTCAGTCGCGACTCGATCGCCACTAAAACCTTGCCGACTTAGAGGTGATTGGGATCTTTAATGTATACCTCGCATACCAGTTGAACTAGGTACCCACAAGATTATTTGACTTTAAAAGAGCCTCCAACACAGCATCCCACATACTTCGAATCGCAAAGGGTTCGAAAAAGGACTTCAGTGGTCGACTTTTACCTTGAGTCAGAAACTGCCTAAAGCCTCATCCGTAAAATTTCATACCAACATAACTTTAGTACATGCAAGATGGCGAGTCGAAGTTCAGTTTCGGTCCACTACTCTTTCTAAAGTATTTTACTGACTTTGAGATATAATCAGCCCAGTGGCATTAATCTACGATGGCGGTCCATAAAAACCGATTATTCACTTAAACTTCAGAACCACATTGATCCATTACAGAAATCGCACAATTAAAAAGTGAACACCCAAATATACGCCCATATTTTCTCATTAGGAGTCGTCGCAACCTGGAATACTCTCCCAGCCGAGGAGACCACAGACTTCTCGGTGGGCAGCTTTAAGAATAGACTTGCTAAACGTATACTCACATACGGATTATCTTCTCCCTCTTGGACAAACTGTGCCTAATGCATATCTTGAGACCTGCTAGTTGTTATCGTAGCCATCTCCTCAGATCACTAAATTAATCTATCTCGCCTACCATCTCTGATTCCTCTACCTTGCTTACATTTCAATCCTCTCTCACTAAATTTACTATGAATTAATTAACTAAATTATCTACATATTACTTAGTTCTGAAATCTTATCATAGTAGCTACGGAATTTTCTCCTTATTATTCTCCACATTGCAACTAACTGATCTCCGGTCTGGTAATGTGATAGCTGCTGGTATCCAGGAACCCCGACTGCCCTGAAACAAACGTTTTCATTCAAATCCCGAGACATGCAAACTCACAACCAACTGCCAACTGACTAGAATTAGACAGACTAGACCACATTAATTGGATATTGGATATTGTTTGAACTGATCACTGAATTGACTACGATCAGGGAAGTCGTTCAAGATTTAGTACATGGTTAGAAGCATAACATAATATGAAATTGTTTTTGTCTAGCCTCCAAAGAAAAAGGCCGGAAAGAAAAGCGGAAATAATGCCTCGACCTCTTCAAAGTCTAAAACACCGACTGTCGTTGATGGCGTTTCAACAACAGAAATGACAAAGGAAGAATTAGAAGAACACATTATGCGTCTTCGAGAAGAGCTCGAAAGAGAAAGGGAGGAAAGAAATTACTTTCAGCTAGAACGCGACAAAGTGAATATGTTTTGGGAAATATCCAAACAGCAACTCGAAGACCGTTCAGCCGAACTTAGAAATAAGGAGCGTGAAATGGAAGAATCAGAAGAGAGGCATCAACTAGAATTGAAAGTAGGAAATGTTTTCATGTGAACTCATTGAACGCTTGTAGGTTTACAGACAAAAAGTCAAACATCTACTTTATGAACATCAAAATAATATCTCAGAGTTGAAAGCAGACACTGCAACTGCTATTCGAATCAACCAAGAAGAACATTCAAAAGTTCAGGGACTGTTGAGGCAGGATGAACAAAACTTAAAGGTCAAGCTAAGAGAAACTCAGTTTTTTGGTGAGGATTACGTAAGAACTCTGAAGAAAGAACATGAACATGAAGTAAAACAAAAACGAATTCTATTAAATGACAATATTTTAGATGCATGAAATAAGAAAAGATTTTGAAAGAAAAATGGAAGAACAGAAAAAGATATATATGAAAAACACGAAGGAACTTAGAGAGAAGCTTGATCTTCAAAGAAAGAATGAACTACATGAAACAGAGGAGAGAAAGAATAATCATATAAATGCTCTTATGCGTAGTCATGAGAAATCATATGCAGAGATGAAAAATTACTATAATGATATCACTTTAAATAATTTAGCTCTAATAAGCACACTTAAGGTTAGCCTTAAGAGCCTTATTGATAATAGTCTCCTTAATCTAAAGTGGCTGGAGGAAATCACTATTTATAAGTAAACGCTCTCAAATGCTTTTAGTAATTATTAAAGAGCAATTTTGCGTCCAACCGTGTTTATTTTCAGCTTGCTTTGAAGATTTTACATATGATAACGCTGTTTTCTGTAACATCTTTCGAACCAAGAATCCCAAACTCAAAGAAACAAGAAGTCAGGAATGAGGGAAATCGAAGGTATAATTGGTGTGTTAAGACATGTGATCTAAGCTGATCATTTGTTGTGAGAAATATATTTAACGGTGCACCCAGTGGCGATCTTTAGCGGATTCGTGACCAGGCGTCTTCAGCTAGGGTGTTTTCATTGGAACTAATAATATCTGCATTAATGTCAAACACTTGCGAAACTATTTACTTTGGATATTTAGTTTGGGGTCTGTACAAAAACATACGAAAACACATATTAAGATCCATCTGGTGGCACAAACAATCTCTTTTCATAGACATATTAACCACTGTTTATTTTTTTCACCAGAATTTATTCGGAAAAATTTCGTTTACTTAATTCAAAACTTGTTGATGAAACTAGTAGATATGAAGCAATGTTCGAACTTTCTATGGTCCTTCTAATGAGTCTGGTTATCATTAATACTTTTTTAGTACTGCCAAATTTTAATCAAAGCTTTAACAAGGATTGTAGGTATTTGAAGCTATTAAACGGGATACTTTTCTACTACTGACGTCATTTAAATGAAAGTTGCTTGAGAGACGATTTTTTAAGATCAGTACTTACATATAATCATCAGGTTCATGTTATGGTCACAAATAGTATCCCACAAAGCAAACAATTTATTAAAACTGTTTTTGTTGAGACTCCGGAAAAACTTGAGTTGAACCAACTGAAAAAACTTATTTATTTTTATTCAGCTGTGCTATTATGAAATAATTTAACTGTATAACTACCATCCTCTATTTGTTCTGTCATAAACAGGAACAACTGGAGGAAAGAAAAAAGAATGAAGAGCGCTTAGAACGTCGAGCAAATGAGATTATGGCTGAGAACCGCCGTCTGGAAGAGCCGTTAAAAAAAGCTAGAGAAGAGAACATCGAAATGAAAAGACAATTGGATAATTATGAAAAAGATAAAATTGTTTTGAAAGTAGGTTATTTTCAACAACTTAAAAAATAAAATGGCAGAGCGTTTTCTCCAGCCCACTAAGCTTCCATCCAATATAAGCAGTCACAACCGAACTACTTTCCTCTCACAGAAAAGGTTTTCGTAGCAGTTGTGTGAACTCAATGTGATATTACTTGACGCTCCTAAAAATAAGCATACCTATAGTGAGCATATAAGGCATCAGCACTTTTATTAAGTAGGCTGAAATGGGAGTTTAATCAATCTTTGTAAGTTGTTGGTAGACGAATTCTTAAACATTTGACTTAAATATCTGTTGGCAACTTCATATCATTTGATTTGTGGATTCTTTTTTATTTTAATCTGTCCGAATCTAAGCATCTAAACAACTTTTTCCGGTGAAAGGTGTTGAGAATAGGTAACGGTTTTTGCTCCTCTCTGAGTTTTCCACCTCAATGTTCGACGATAAACATTTTCTGTTGCCAAGCAACGCAGTAATACTATTCACTTTCACTAGCCACACATTAGAGATGTTCAACAAAGTAATTTTCCTTTCCAATCTGGAAACTCAAATTACTAGTAGTCAACGGATTTATGACGTAAATGGAAACGGAATAAGTTTTTATAACCTAATTGATGTGTTAATATCTAGCTCTTCAGTAATTAATATTTCGATGACTGTACAAAGATCAAGGTCAAAACTTTGATACACATTATAAGCACTTAGTTTTGGCTATAATAATGCTCATCTTCATAGAGGCAAAGAAGTTATGAGATTTCTATAGTAACTATGGACTGAAAAAATTTCTAATAACTATTTATTGATAAAAATATAGTAGCTTGTAAAAGTTAAAGAATCTTTAAAGCTATTCAAAGAAACGCCAACGGTTCTTTGATGGTGATTTTAAACACTTAGAAACTTAACAGATAAAGGCTCGTACTTTATCTGTACATAGATTTTCCGGTTGTATGTGAATCATGAAAGCTTCAGCTCACTGAGTATCACCTCGTCATTCTAGTATCCAAAACACAGGATTATTATGAAGTTTTCTTTGGAAAATAAATATCGCTGGGATTTCGAAATCTTTACTGGAATTAAAGTTGTAGCGGTGGTTTGAAAATCTTTGGATGTTATTGAATTCAAATATAGCGCTTTTTGTTTCGTGTTACTCTATTCGCTATCACTCTCATCTGATCTGAACCACATTTAAAACTTATGAATTTTTATTCTTTCCTCTTTTTTTACCTTTTGTATTAGCAAACGAAACTTTTGTTAAAAACTTGTGAGAAAGAAAAGAAACATACCGAATGGAAATATGATATTCTGGAACAACAATTTAAAGACGTAAATAAATTTATATATTTATATACATATATACACATATAATAGGTAATGCCATGCACTGACACACTGTTGATTATGATCATCCTGAAATTCCTGGCCTGAAATTCACCGCTTAATATCATGACTCAGGTCATGTGTTAGTAACTCTTTTGATAGTTGCTGTGTCTTTGTTTGATCCCTCCTCGTAGTTTTACTCTGATCAACTTCTAAGCCTATCAGCAATATCTTTCTGTGTAGATGTTAACTTGTCATGGTCTAGACATCTGAGAAAATGTAAGTTTATGATTTCATCCGCTAGCATATCACTTCTTCATGAAATCTTACGCTTAACCTATTTGCTCCCCACAAGGTTATTCTACCATACTCAAAGTATCCTTCCAAAAATATATAATCAAATACATACGGCTTACCCATATCTTTTATATTCAGAAGCTTATATTATGGGAACATACCTATATACAACAAACCACTGCATTCTATACTCATCATCCAATGCACAAACGCTTGCTGAAGTTGGCAATAGCAAATTATACTCTCGGTTATTCCACCAACATCTAATCAACCACTAAATTAACAGAAAGTGATTGATTGTTCAACTAGCAAAAAATTTAATTGTGTAGCTAGAGAATTATTTATTTATCTTTTGGGTGTGTGTAGTCAGCCAGTCATATGCTAGGTTGATTTTATTTATTTAATCAGTTATCTATTCATTTATTTTAATACTCACGTATTCTTTAAAGGGGGCACCAAAGCATAATACGCGCCACATACACCAATGAATTTGTGTGGGGATTCGGAAACAGATCGAATGCCCTTACCTAAAAGGGGTTTTTTATTACAAGGTCACTCCCCCTGAATCTTTGACCTCGAAGTCTAACTCACATGGCTGTGAAACAACATTAGGAGATGCGGTCTCATGGTAGCCGGTCAGTCACCAACAGTAGGTTCATACACCAATTGTTTCCTGAGTATCTTGGAGTTCAGTTGCACTATTTGCTTGAAATCGGAGTTTTCTTACTCCCCTAAGTGGATTCTTTGTAAATAGTAGTTCGTTTCCTACTCTGTACATTCACTTTTTGTCCTCTCGATTCCCTAACCAACAACTCCGTCTGTAGAAGGCAGTGAGTAGGATTTCCCTGACAGTGACTATATGGAGGCATTTGAACAGCGGAACGGACTCTTGATTCTCCACCCTACGGGGCACTTGAAGATGATGACCAGTTTGATGTATACTGACCCACACATACATTATCACTGAGATAATCACAAATAGAACGAAAACGTGGCTTGTTAATTTTGTCATGCTGGTACAAATTTACGTTGGCCCAAGTTGCAATAGAAAATTAATACTTTAAGATAAATTATAAGAAATGAGTAGTAAAGGAGTAACGCTAATGCAGTAGGAATGATAATCACTTATCTTTTTGAAATTTGATTCGACAAGACAAAATGACAATTTAGGTGTAAATCGATTCTGGAAGTCAAGTTCTTGAGAGGAATAAATAATGCATGTAACGGACTGCTCAATCTCGATTATATCAAAGCATTTGAGGTCTAGTTCCATAGAGGCGGGCGCAACGTAGAACTTCGCATGTTTTTATACCTTGAGAACATCCTTTGATGTTATTGATCACAACGACAGCTCGTCGTATGCTCCCGCCCGATCAGTAGTGTTCAAACAGAGGGCCTATCCAAAGTTGGTATATTTCTTTGTACGCGTTTTAATAACTTTACTATCGTAGCTAAAGATATCCAGGATATGTCAATCAAGGCCTGCTTCTCTCCCACTCTCTATATGAGCCATAACTTTTGGCACTTTTAAGAGTTGATGATCTTGTGTTGACAACCTATGCAGATTATCTGACAACAGTACGTAAATGGAGGGTATTTGTAAACCGATTAAACTAGTTCATAGTGTTCCACCCATTGTTATGATGGTGGAAATATTCTCACTACCTAAAAAATCTAATACTTATCTCTTTGATAATTGTAATGCTATCTGTTGTTGCTTATCATCGTTATCTTTTCTATCGTTGTCCACCACCGCTTACGATAGTTACGTAAATTTTTGTTAGCCTTTGTTCAGATGTTTCTTACCCCTAATCATCTTCCAAGCTTGATGGGCTGAGTTCCCGGGCATGTATAAAAATTCGGTGAAATTTACTGCTTATATCCCCTAGCCCTTTGGTCATAATCACTGTGCTACTAATTTGAAAGTTGCATGAACAGTTTTAAATATTCCATTTACACTAATTATAGATATTTCTCGGTTTTAGATTGAAAATGAACGTAATGATTTATATGAGAAATTTGTACTAGCTATTCAAGAAGTTCAACAGAAATGTGGATTAAAGAATATATTGTTGGAGAAACGTTTGACTGCACTAACCGAAACAATTGAAAAGAAAGAGGCACAGTTAAGTGAAGTTTTATCAGCAAGTAATTTAGATCCCATCTCTATGGCCACAGTATCGAGGAGATTAGGCGTAGGTTTTTTCATGTGTTATAATCTTTCTATTTTGAGTTTTAGCAAAAATCTGAAGTCTAAACATGATTTAGTACTCCTAATTTTAAAAAGTTAAACCACTTATAGCTTGTCAGTAGCTCGTTAAATTATTCTGAAGACTCTAAATCGGTAATGTCCTTCACTGAGTATTTGAACTGGGGTCAAAAATAATTCATGTTTCAAAATTTAAGGTATATTACCGTAAGTAATTCGTAGCAATGCTTTTGTTCTTTACAACACTCTTGAAAGCCTTTAAAAATGAGGCATTCCTTTGTTTTGCTTCACGTCTTATCGTTTTACATTGCAATAACTTCAGTCACATTAACATTTGCATTTACCGAACAAAAATAAATAGTGATAGGCTGTGTTCTATGAATTAGTAAGTGAAGTGCTTTAGCTTGGTGATCTAATCATAGTTCTGAAACTTCTATTCAGTCATTTCTTAATGCATAGATCCACTTTCATGATACAACAGCCTTATCACCATTATGAAAATTCGATCCCGCACGACAAACGACCTCTCGAGTGACTGTGGACGTCTATGTACACGATAAAATTCACTGTTTATTCTTTTATTCCATGTCATCACCGTAGTTTTCTAGTTTTCGTACCGGAAATTGATGATTTTGTGTAGTCTGGACATTTCGGATGTATGTATGTTCACTTTTCAAATGAATTACAAACTTATTACACAGTTAAGGCCGTTAATATTCTGGAAGAAAGTTTTCTATCATTTCGCCTAAGCAAAAGCTAATATCCAGATGCCGGTCAATAATAGTTTTAATATCATAACGTACGAAATTTGCATCCAATTATTGAGCTAGAATCGGAAGGTAAACGTTGTCCAAATTATTTTAGTAGATAGTCCACTACCGCCATTTTCCAGTTTCACTTATTACGAATCTGGAAATTGTTTACCCTATAAACCAAAAGATTTTAGGTATATTTAAATCACTTACTTTGATTATTTATTTTCTCTAAAGGCTTCAGCTGGAAACTTATCACCACTCGATTTCGAATAAGCGATTCAACAGGAGTTTGATTTTATATGTATCCTAAGTTTGACTGTGTGGATACTCACTGATTTCGAGAATCATTTAAACTACGGCTTTTCACTGATAGATTTTCCCAAGTGTTTAGGTCATAAATTCAGATCAAGATGACGTTACGCTCCGATTTCTTCAAATGTCAACCAAGAAAGTTTGTATTACGATGCTAATTGCTTAATAAATAATTTTTAGTTGACATCATGGCTTAACGATTAAAGCCATAATTTAACACAAGGAAGCATTAGACGACTGTTTTATCTGATCGTGGGACTCCATTAGTACTGTTTGTCAATGAACCTTTCAGGAATCAACAGTCATCACTGACAGTCATTATGAAAAGTAACAAATCGGTTGGAAGGCACAACAACTAGAAACTGAGTTAAATGTTTGAAAGTTAAGCCTTTGTCGTGAAGCCTCACGATGTTGAGTCTTCTATTCAACAGGGTTGTGGATGAAGTTGAATAAGGAGTTCCATACTACTATAAAATAGTGACTCAACTCTTTCCAATTTTCAATGATTATCTAATATCTCAAGCCAACTCATCATAATATCAACTTAATATTGAATAATTTCTATAAACCGCTTATACTGAAAATAGATTGTTATCTATGCTTGTCACTGTGATTTTACCTAACCAACCCACGAACAACATTTTTAAATGGTTTCTTTCCATAATCTGGAAGAGAAAGGATCTAATTATGATTCAAGGGAGGATTAAATGAGCAAAGAATTTTATTTCATAAACATTTGATGTTCATCTAATTAATTAAACCGGCATCAGGATTCTACTGTTATTATTACTACTATTATTATTACCATAAATATTAGATTTTGAATGATTGGTTCACAGTTGAGGGGAATAAGCAGCACTTCCAAAATATTCAAAACCTTATCGTTCTTTTCTTAGCAGCTTTGAAACATCAAATTTATGAGAAAAGACTATTAATGACAAGAGGTTTGAAGTGATCAGTAGAAAGCCATGAATTTAGATTTATTTAAAATCAAACAAACACCATTTATGATGAATAATAACTGATAGGATACCTAAATTTGAGATTTATCACTTACTATCACCACTTGTATAACATCAAACAGGGGAAATACTTTTATATTGATTGATACAAGGAATTCCGTCAACAATTATGATTATATAGCGTATCATGCATGCTAGCCGTTATCAGCTGATCATTTGGTGTAAAAATGTGGGCTTTTAGAGTTACATAAAAATGTTAACAATATTAGTGTAACTGGACGATTAGGGAGAATTGATTTTTAAGTTCCGAGTTTGATAAACTGAGTTCATAATAAAGTCAAGAAACAAACAATTCAAGTTTGGTTCCAACTATTTCACACATATTGAATTGCAAAATTGGTCAATAATAAATTCCATAAAATAATTGTAATTTAAGACAGTTGAAAATCAGTGAATAATCATCATCATCATCATCATAATATTAATAATAATAACCCCTTACTATCCTTTTAATCTCTTAGAATGTGATGTGTAAGCACGGGCACAAGATACAACTGTACTGGCTATACCTATAAATTTAGTTTGACAAAACACCGAGATTGTAAATACACTCACTAATATGAATTCCAATAAAGCACAAAACTTTTACTTTTGATGGAATATTTCACATTCATTTATGAGATAATGATAAATTAGTATACATTTTTGTGTAAATTTCTTTTTCAAGGATATTTTAGATTCTAAAAATGGTACCATTAAAGAACTTCAGTATGAATTGGCAAGAGTTTGTAAGGTGAATATTTAATGACTATTTAAATGATAATTTTATTTTATTTAACATTCTTTCATGATTCATATCAAAACGACCGGATACGCGAACAAAGGTAATTAGTTTTTGAACGTAGCTATGATGTAACGATAAATGCTTTAGTGAGAAGGATTTTAAACTATCTTATCAACTATTGGATTAGTGTTTATCAGTTTTCAGTAAAAGCTCCCTCATAATCACTTTGATATCATTTTTTTTCAGTTCACCTGTTCATATTGAGCTAGTTACATCGATTGCTCAATGCTCTGTAGAAGAGAGTTTCTGAAAATGATGCAGTTTGATTGAAGTGATGGATTAGTGAAGAGATAAGTAGCTATTTAACAGAGGACATTTTAATAGCAATATTTCGTCTGAACAATATTCAGCATCTGAAGTTATCTGTGACTGGAATCCCAACCCTCTCATTGTGTTTATGTGATATGGTAATTTGAACCGTTGCTCATTTTTAAAAAAATTATGGACGGTGTACATGAAAGAGAATTATGAAATCCTTTTCCATAGTATTACCGCAACCTCCAGTTTTCACAAGCCACCCTACCCTTCCAAATATATTCAAATTATAATTCAGAATAACTCATTACTGTTCCTATGTTAATAACTACTAAAGTTAGACATTCAAACTATTCGGTTCCAGTTCAGTTGGTTGACTAAATTATGCTCTCCTTCAGATATGACTGGTCTGAATTTGAATCTGTGTAAGATTCTATGTATGTTTTTTTACTTGAGGGAGGTGTTAAAATACAAAGAAATAGTTATCTACTTCTCTCTAGCATATCTAATAGCTGTTCAATGTTAATATTTATTCCGGAATATAAACTCCAGTGATTCATTCATTCAAATTTCTTTAAATCCCACTATCTACAACTATTCGTTGTATTTAAAATATCAAACTTTAGCACATGGAGTTTAATTTTTTTTTAATGTATGATCACTCTAGGCACACAATGATCTTTTATTAGCATGTGAAGGCAAACTTCAACAGTTCGGTATACCTGTTCAAGAGCTTGGTTTTCGACCACTAAAAACCAAAATGAATACACAGAAATTGGGTCACGGACCAGCTGGTCTAGTGTCTGTACCACCGTAATCGTAAGAAAGAATGAATAGAATTCACTGTAAAATTTTTGTATGACAAACAATATAAACTGACAGCCTCAAAATGAAACACTTGCTTTCCATCAATTTAGCCAAACAGTAAAGTACTAATCAGAAGATGACATTTGAGTGAGTAAACTCAATAAAATATTTCGAGAAAAAGAAAGCTCACGATACACACATCATTTCATACGAAACAATAAATATAATTTATTTGTAAATTGGTGTTTTTTGTGTTTACAGCATGTTTTTTTCCGCCATGTTTACCTAAATGAGTAGTTTGGTTAAAGTTTTCTAACTTAGATTATGTTGCTATGTTTCCTTGATAGATTTATTCTGGAGTATTTCATTTCTGCTTTCTCCTCCAGTAGTGCATATGGCATGAAGGCGAAATCTAAATATTTTTTATTATTCTACTATTATTCGATTTTACAGCCAATAACTTAGCTTATACTACCGGAAAATCAAGAAGTCAGTCGATATGGTATACATAACTCTGACCACATAATGTTAGATATGCGACCCGAAACCAGTGTAATGAACAGGAACGTTAAGACCAGGTAGAATTTACTAACGAAATGTACACCTTATCTTCAGATTTCCATTTTCAAAATAAGCGGATTCGTGACTGTCTTCCATCACATATCTTCCAGTCTTCAAAATACTTTGATCGCGCCGCTCTTCTGGATCCAACACTCGTCAATTCAGTAGTATCTGTTAGAGGGACACTCCTCTGCCCACTAATTCTTAAGAATAATTGAATGTTCTGGAGAGGTGAGGTTGGTTGAGCCAGTAAATTTCATCTTACAATTTAGTCTACAGATTGGTTGTGGTATGGAATACTTCGAAATTAGAATGAACTGTAACAGGCAGAGAAGATATTAAGGTGAATTATTTGATCAATAAAGCAAGTAAATGAATAAACAAATGTAAAAAAATTAAATTAGCAGATAAAAAAAGAGGAAAATAAATAAAATGGTACAGAAGACTATTGATAATGTACAATAATAATGACAAGTCAGGGGATGGTCAAATCTGCATTTTCCCTACGAATGTTTATAACTCCCCTTTGTTTCAGATGAAGGGTGGTAAACCATGAGTAAGAATACAGTTTCTAAGTTTCCTCTTTAAAAATGCCAACTGAAGAGGCTGCAAGTATTTCTGTCCAAAGAGCGTTTCAGGAGAAATCAGCAGATAGTGGGCGTAAATATGACATTTATCAGAAGCTTGTTCTTTGATATGCAATTAATTTATTGACTGTTACTTTGCGAAGTGCCATAGTGAGGTTCTGATAAAATTTTAGTTAGTACATCGAGTAACTTCACCTTGAACCCTTTGGGGCTACTACCAGTGTCAAGACTGAATGAAGTTAGTGTTTAACATGGGGTTAGTAAATTCATCCAGTAGAAGACAAATCTGTTAAAAAATTTAACCGTCAAAAAACATTTAAATTAGACCCCGAGGTTAAAAGGCCTTCATCTGAAATAGTCAAGATGCCTCATTGTGAAAGACAAGAATATTCAGGAATCACGAGGCCAATATCCATCAGGATAGCCGGAGCAACAATCAATTTAGATGTTTACACAATGCGAAAGAGACCGATAGAACCATTCTAGTTGCTGTGCAAATTAAAAGATAACCTAGTGGTGATTAAAATCAGTGAAACACATTGGATGAAGGCTAGACAAAAAGACTAGCTTCACGAGCAATACTGTCATACCCCGGTCATACGGAACGAAATTCCTCAAATCCAAATGAAGTTGTACTGACGTTGTACAACGAAGCACAAAAAGCACTAAGAGAATGGTAATTTCATTCATCCAAAATCATCAAAGTATTCTTCCAAGAAAGAAGTTAGTGATTGTAATGAGTATTTAGTGCCATCTATTCCGGGGATAGGAATGGATATGATCAAGATCAGCTTTGCGTCAGACTGTAGTCAATCGTAGAGAAATACTCAGGAAACAAACTGACATTCCTGACTGGAAACTTGAAGAACAAGGTTAGACTGAGCAATACTAGACATGAACTCATCATAAGACGACATGAACTGTAGCTACGTTGGTTTCACCGAACCCCATTACAGAAGATTAGATCAATCACATCTGTATCAAAAAAATTCAAAAAGTCCATGGAAGATGTTAGAACAAAAAGAAGAGCTAATACGTAGGGAAGATTCAAGAAAAGAAAAACTAGGTCAATGATAGTCGAAAAACATCAGAAATAACGAAGTCATAGACTGAATAAACAGAATTAAACAAGTGAGTCAAGAGCAGAATTAGAGTTGATAAGCGAAAATATATGAAAAACCTAGCAAGGAGAGCAGAAAAGGTTGTGAAAGAAGAAAATATAAGACAGTTGCATAATACGACAAAGTCGTTAACTAGTAAATATAGTAGACTAGAGAGGGAGAAGCATGGAATACACTGGACAACTTTGATGTAGCTAAACGATTTGGATATTGCAGACCACCTAACTCTTCTATCTCATACATATCAGCAAATGCAAGTGAAGATGACCAGTGCATCAGCAGTCTCTGAAGCAATATGCCCTAACATACATAAAGGAAAACCAAGATCCTAAAATACAACACAGACAGCATCAAACAAACCACATCTGTAGGCAACGTTTTGAGGAAGGAGGAAACGTTTACCAACCTGTGTAGCGAAATTGATAAACAAAGGGATCAGATACTGATGTGAAAACAAGGAAAGTAAAACAAACTGTAGCATTTCTACAGTTCAGTAACATCTGAAACCAAACATGACTGACTATCAATAAACTCCAATGCAGCAATTTTCAATTTATAAACGTTCAGACAATTCTACCGTACAGAGCTGAAACTTGGAGAACTACTGCAATCATCATCAAAGATATACAGGTATTTGTGAACAGTTGTTCATTCAAGATACTCTATTTCCGTTCAACCGACACCATCAGTAACGACCTACTATGGCAGTGAACAAACCCACTTCCGGCTGAATAATAAACTAAGAAAGGACTCTGGAGCCGACACTGAGGAACTCACAAATCCACACCACAAAGCGAGCCCTGACTTTCAGTCCTCTAAACAGAGACGAAGAGGCAGACCAAACAACAGATTGCGCCGGGAATCGGAGGTAGATGTCAACTGAATGAATAGCAATTGGGAGCAACTGAGAAAGAGAGACTAGGGAAGTGTTAGTAGGTGAATCCTGATTGTGGTCCAGCGCTCCATAAGAAGTAGCAAGCGTCAATAAATAGAAAAGTATTGTAGAGTGTGTGGTGTTCTCTGCATGCGTTTACGACTAGATTCGATTCCGAAAAATTCCTTTTTGGTGAAATTAAAACGGTTTATATTTCTGTTGTTGCTATATTGATGACCGTCATATAGTTCTGAAAGAACAAAACTGATACGCGGAACTTATCATGGGTTCAAGTTTAATGGCTGAAGTTGGAACACGTTAAACAGGAGTCATCGAATTTCATAATAATATGCTGTTTTTCAACCGAATAACTATTTCAATTTGTTTATTGGTTGTTTACTGATAAAGTTCACGATTAGCATCAGCGTTAAGATTTCGAACATAATCGTATGTAGCCTAACCGATAATCATTCTCCCGGTCTGAAACCCTAACCCTGCTCCTAATTGTTTACTTAGCCCAAAATCCTATTTCTAGACATTAACTTAAATCCCAGGACTAAACCCGAATCCTCATTCTATACGTAACCCTTATGCTAAATCCCAATTATAACTAATAACAACAAAACCTAATATTCATACTAACCTTAACGAACATTGCAGTGGAATATTACATCTAGCCTCTTTCACAGTTAGTTATTATTTCATTCCCATATTCATAAGTGAATGGTTTATGACCGATCGGTCTTTGCACTATCACCTTGAGATAATTTTCTTATTTTCGATCCGTTCAAGATTCTACTTCAACACAACCTCTTTCTCACATAACTAATCTTATTCATTTAGATTAAATTATACAAGTTAAGACATTAGGATTTTTAAATACTGGTCTTTTTATTTATCCAGTCATTTCTTACTGGAGGTTATTTACTACACTTTTTCAAATGAAAAAGAAGCAGTGAATAATATAATAAAACAGTGCAATAAATCAAATGATTCCTCAATGAAAATAAATAATGGACTTTTATGGTGAACTCAAATTATTACATTGTTGTTTTCGTGAGTGGTTATTATCCATCAATCAAATAAGGCAACAGTTCAGTAGGGGTGATCAGTAAATTGTATGTATACATTGGTATGCGTAAAACAGGACAGATTGGTACATGTAATACCAGGAAAAAGGGGTGTAAACGCGTATGCCATGATAATTTAGAGGTTTCTGTTTATACTACTAGTTAGTTTATAAGTAGTGAGAATGAATTGAAAGTATGAGAATAAATATCACTGAATAAATCAACAAATTAAAAGGCGAAAATTGTGTCTATTCCACTTTTAACTAATCATGGTGTATAAAAATTACATTTTTCATGCTTATACTTTGAATAGTGAATGAAGATCGGACAAACTTATTGGTGAGGTCAGTAAGAATCTGTAAAAACTAGTTTGCAATAATGAGGATAGAAAGAAAGTAAATTAGAAAGACAAATTATCGATCAAAAATAGGTAGAATCATTCAACCGGGGTCGTTTCTAAAGAAAAGCATATAAGTATTGAAAAAGAGGATGGTTGAGGTAACCCATTCGTATTGAATAAAAATACAAAAAATTAGGCGACGAAAGTTTTCGTTTCATAGATTTCATTTACTAAGCTGTACAATAATCGTATTTATAAGTAATTTTATTTGCTAAAATAGTAGTTTTTACTCAAATGGAATGGTGTGAACTGATAATAAGGATAACAATATTAATATTATCATGTCATGAACTGTTTATGAAAATCAAATACTGAAAGGAAGTTATATCATAACTGACCAGTGAAAGGGGCTAAGGTCAGGCTAATTGTCCACTTGGTATCTGTTAATAACAAGAAGCGGAAGTTGTATCAACTGCTAATAATTAATAGTTGCAAAATAGTTGGAGTGGATTAGGACCAATAATTTAAAAGTTAACCAAACAAAACACTCAATAACAGGCAAAACAATAGCCTTTGGAATATGGAAGGATTGAAAGGCATTTCCAGACCATGGAAAAATGAGCGACTGAATATGTGGTTTCTGTACGAAAAGGTCAGGTCTGA